AAGGGACATCGGGTTCCCGTGGCAGAAGAAGAGGGTGTTGAGCAAGCCAAGAAGAGACAATAGCATGCCTTGAAGGGTGCCACTAAGCTTGCTCATTGCTCTGTCTGAGGGGAGCCCCACTCACCCCATCGTCCTCTGTGCGGGGTGGGGACAAGCCGCTCGCCGTCTGCCTTTCATCGCAACCACTCCCAAACAGGGGCATCAGTGGCTATTTGCTCTGCCCTTGCTGAAGGCATGTGTAGCTCTATGTAGCTCTGTCAGGGCTTGACATTCACAATAAAAATAATTGGGAATAGCAGCAGCAGCAATAATAATGACATTTGCTTTTTCCACAGCTGTTGTGCATGGGTTGGTATTCCCAATGCGCTGACTGCCATGACCCCAACATTTCTGTCCAGGCCGCTTCTGGTTTTGCATGAAATGTCATTTTATTCCTTAACATATTTGTATTGAATTTTATGTTTTAACTGTCCTCCCTCCTTTCTGTTTTTTAGCTGGGTTGTGAGGCAGGTTAACAGTGTAGGAAGTGACTGGGCAACACCCTAGTGGGACACCCGCTCTGCACAGTCTGGTTAGCTTGCACCCACGCTGCTTTCCGGTTTGCTTCAGCCTTGCAGAACTGGGGAAAGCAGGGCCAATGGCAGGAGGATGGGGAACGGGGTCCCCGGTCACTGGGGGGCACCCTTGGGGGGATTTAGACTTTGTCCCACATAGCCTGGTTCCTTCACTCAGGAGGAGACTAATTTGCACTGCAGTTGTGCAAAGTTTGGCAACATTTGCAGTAACGTGGGGTTTAATGTGGGGTTTTATTGTGTAGAAAATCAATTTCGATGCTGTGTTCCACTTTGTTTTATTGTAAGACCGTCCCAAGACCTCGGGAGTGGATGGTATATAAAAGTTTTAAATAAAGAAATAAAGAATATAAGATTAAACAAATTGACACCCCCAAAAAGGAAGAATTATTGCCACAAAGGCCTGCCATTAATGATATTAATTCCCATTTCTCTCTGTATTCCTGGTAATCGCTGCAGCATAAGAGGACAGCAGTTTCGCTGCTCCAGCAGCACAAGGACGTGCCCACAGCGAATGGACAGGGTTTGGCCGCATCAGCACTGGGCCCAGGGCAGTTCCTGTGCGTCCTTTGCCAGTTGGCACCCAAGACACGCGTGCCTGTTATGAAATTTCTCCTGCTGGAAACAGGAGAGGAAAGGAAGCAGGGTCCAGTGCAGTGCCAAGGAAGCCCCAGCTTGTTGCTCACTGGGGTCCTCACATCTCTGGGAGGTCCTCAGCCCATGGGTGCTCAAGGAAAGGTCCAGGGGCTCTGCGGTCCCAGTTAGAAGCAGAGAAACAGAGCGAGTCAGAAGGGATCTCCCGGGTCATCTAGTCTGACCCCCGGCTCCAGCCAGCTCTGCTCATGACATGCCCACCATGTGCATGTCCAGCCTGTCCTTGAACGCTCTCACCGATGGGGCCTCCACCACCTCCCGGGGAAGCCCATTCCACACCCTCGGGGTCCCGACTGTCAGGAAGTGCTTCCTGGCATCCAAATGGAACCTGGGTTGCCTGAACTTGGCTCCATTGGAGTGTGTCCTGCTTTCCTTTGCAGGGGAGAACAGGTCCCTACCAACTTCATGTGGCACCCCCTCACATACCTCAGTTGGGCCTGATCCCCCCCCCCCACACACATTAACTGGCTTGTTACCCAGAGGGGCTCCCTCTCCGGCCATCCCCTCTCGGCTCTTCCTGCTCAAGGCTTCTCCTCACCCCAAAAGCACATGCCTGTCTAAGCATCCCACTTTACAGCTTGGGGTGTCTGTAGGAGGCCAGGTCTGCATGGTGCACACAGACAACTTCAGGGTCCATCTAACAAAGTGCGCGCAGCTTTGTGCTCTTGTGAGGTTTTGCATTTGGCAGCAGGGGAGGGTGTGTCCTGTGGCACCAAGTCCCAGCCCAGCTCAGCATCCAGCATTGCTCAGCACAGTCTCACTTTCTGTGGGCGCAATTCTTTACTTGAATGGGGATGAGAGAAATACGCAGGAGCAGGTGCCAATGGATTTACTTTTGAGGAAAAGGAGGGCGTGGCAGAGATGACTGTCTCAGAGCAGGAGATAACCGGCTGGGTGACTTGACTGTGGGAGCCGTTCCGTGACCCGCCCAGGCTGTGCCACCTCCCCACGGCATTAAGCCCTGTGCACACACCCCTCCCTGCTTGCCTCCTCGTGGGGATGTATTTAAATGCTGCTCCAGAGCACATGCAGGTGCCTGATGGACACGCAGCCAAGGAGTGTGGTTGGGTCTGGACTGCAGCTCCTGGTTCCCAGCAGCCCCTTTGACCTCGCTTCCCGAGAGAAGGTGACTGGTCAGTTGCGGAGGAGCCTGCTTTTCCCCCACGACACCCTCACAGCTCTTCGGACAGTGCTCCGTGGAGGACAGGAGAAGCTGCAGGTAGGGAAAGAGAGGGAGAAAATGGTGGCAGGAAGCGGCCCAAGTAGCGGTGGCTTTGGAGAATTGCCTCTGCCTGTTGCAGGGGCAGGATCAGATTTGGGTGAAAGGGAGAAGGCAGGAAGAAAAGGTAGATGGAGATACACAGCCCTGTTCAGCTGGGGGCCTAGCCCCATCTTCAGTCCTGCAGGGACTTTCTCCCTGTGGCACTCTGCCCATGCTTAGGGGGCTGGCCTGGAAAGAGAGCTGGAGAGCTGATTTGTCCCACAATTCTTGAAGCTGAAGAAGCTATACCTCTTGCCCTGAGTGGTCTCAAGGGTGTGCTGCAGTTCTTTGGCAGGGCTGAGAGCTGTGCCTAAATTTTGTAGGGTCGCTCTGTCTTTCCTTTCTTTTGTCACTCCTCTTTTAGAAGCTGCCAGCCACCAGGTAGTGCTGCTGCTCTACTGCAAGAATACCACTACTAGTAGTAGTACCATTATTATTATTATTGAATTACTTTGAATAAGAATGACTGTTACTCTGTGCACGTACAGATATTGTATGCCCATGCAAGAGGATGAGTGAGATGCTGCCTTGGGATCCCTGCAGTCTTCTGCCTGGCTCAAGAGAGCCCTCAGATGTTTGGGGAGATGGAGGTTTACCCAGACTGTGACAGATCTGGAGTGCATCTCCTATGGCTTCCCGTTTCCTCCTCATTCTTCCTCATACTTTACAGTTTGCAGGTCCAGACAGACCTTGTTCGACTTCTCCATAAGCAGCAGTCCCCAAAGTGGCTCCCCTTTTCTCTAACACCCCATGAGAAAATATGCATGGTTGGATTTGTAGATATCCAGAGCACTGAATGCACCTGAAATGCATGTAGCCTTCTAGCAATGAGCTAGCGGCGGATCTGGATATACCCAGAGCAATGAAAACCCACAAAAAGCACCTGCACAGCTCCCCAACCAATGGACTGAATTAGAATTAGGCATGAAACAAATGATTTTGCAGAATAAAATGCAGCCTAAAGGCCATCATTGCGACACACTGATGCCGGAGCGGCCGATTAGGCATCTTGAGGGGCATCCGTGGCAGCCTCTTCCATTCCCTTATGTGTGCCGGGGACCAAAAAGGCAGGCAAATGTTCCATGTGCTCAGCAAGAAGGAAGGGAAAAGCTTTCTCCTGTTCAAAGGGAAAGGCTCAGGCTTTGCTCTGGAAAGCTGCGGTGACACTGAGGTGGCACCACAAAAGAAAACACACACCTTGCCTACCTACTGAGATGCTCTGGGAGGGAGACACCAACAGGCACATGCTCGGTCCCCACTTTGGTTCCTCAGGCGACAGAAGGCTCCCAGTCCCATTGCCAAGCAGCTCTTGCCAACTGGGTTCACACAACAGAACAGGCCGCAACTTCATAAGCAAGGGCTGGCTTGCTGTATTGTCCAAAGTGGGCAACATGGCAGGTGGGCCATGGACGAACCATTCCTGTTCAGATAACATGAGAACCTCACCTCAAGGGTTTGGTGTGGGGTTTGTTGAACCATGGGTTATCACCGAAAAGCAAGTTATTGTGCTGTCAGGCCGGCCAAGGTAAGAAACCATGGAGAACAACCCACAGCCACGAACCATGGGTTCTTTTCAGGGTCGCTCATGGCTACCAAGCCATGCTTTGTTGGCACAGCTGATCACTTGCATTTCAACAACAGCCCACCTTACAGTGACAGTCCACACACACCCCTTGTGTTCAGTGTGCAACCTGACACCACTGGCTTCCTGGCTGTTTCCAAACAACTCAGAGGAAAGTTCACAGCGCAGATCTCAATCAGTTTATCAACTGTAATCTAAATTTGCTCTTGAACTCTTGGCTCTCAGAAAAGGCGCATGGCTCAACCTTGAATGGGAGGTGAGCAACCACTCCCTGGCTGGCTGCTCTCTGAGTTACAGCTATTTTTTCACCCTGCAGCACAGAAAAAGCTTGTCTGCATTTCCAGAGAAGGCTGATCTGGTTCTCCTAACCTCCTTTCTAGGGAGCCAGTCAGCCAAACCCTCCAGCAGGATCCCACTTCCTTCCCAAGGATCGCCCATTTTCTATATTCCTTTTTCACCCAGCCCATAACTTCCTGTGGGTGCCGAACTGGTTCACCCTCCCAGAACTGGTTTTCTTTGGGAGGAGAGGGGTGACCCGCTAGATTTTGGTGCCAGGCGAGACCTTCCTTTCTTTTGACGGTGGCTTCATTTTGGCATGGTGGCCACTTGATGCTTGCCTACCATGTGTCCCAGCCCATGTTCCCCTCAGGGACACAGAGGGTTTCCCAAGACTGCTTTGGCTGGCCAAGGAACTGGCAGGCTTTCGGTCAACACAGACCTCCTTGGCAGTGTGCAATCCGCATACTTCAGGCAGACTGGCCAGCTGTGAGAGAACCTGGCACAAGAGTGTGTATTGCATCGCACTGCAAAAGATGTGGAAAATCCTGATAGGCAGGTTTGCCTCATGTGTTCTCATAGAAATGCCAAAAGCCTTAAAAGACCATTTCTCTCTCTGCGTTTTTGCAGCTTTGGTGGGGAAAGTGTCGCCAGGATGCCAAGTATATTTGCATACCAGAGTGCTGAGGTGGACTGGTGCGAAAGGAACTTTGAGCATTCGGAGAACATTGCTGAATATTACAATACGGTAAAGCTGCTTACCCTGTTTGGTAGTGACAAAATTTGGCTCGTGGCCACCAGAATCAATAAGCCACGCCAGCCATTCTGCAAACAAGAGATAGTGTAGCAGGGGAAACGCTTTTGTGCACCCAAAGCATCATGAAGAGGTGGCGGTGCCATGCCTCGGGCCCCCAGTTGTTCTGGGCTTGGGGCACATCTGGGGTACTGAGAGGGTGCCGTGGGTGCTCTCACAAAATGGCTTCCATGGGGAGAGGCTTGGCGATCTGCTGAGCCTCTCCTGCCCCAAGGAAAGGAGCTGCGCTCTCAAGCGTGGGTCCGCCCTTCGGGGCTGCAGTAAAGTTGAAGCAAAGATGCTCCAGGGTTGGCCTGAGCAGGGAGGGGAGACCCCTGGGGCCGCATCCAGCCTTTGAGGTCGCCATGGGAGAAAGTAGGGATAGAAGCACAACAAATAAAAATGGTGCCTTAGTTGGAGGTGCACCAGCTTCCAATGAAAAATAATAACTCCATGTTTTTAAAAAATCTTAAGAAATCAGAGCAAGACATTCAGGAGGAAGAGGGAACTGGGCAGCGCTTTGGAGACCTGAGCTCTACAGTTCCCCGCCAGCTCTGCCTCCCACCAGATCAGAGGTGCAACATGGGCTCCTGTGGAGTCCAGGCATCCAAGCCCCTTTCAGGCCTAAAGAAACGCTTTTCAGCATGACTGAACCAATAAAAATGAAGATTTAGAGGGCTTGAACACCTTTTTGGGAAGAAACCCCATGGAACTCAGTGGGACCTGATGGGGAAGAGTTGCATGGGGCAGAATGCTGGTGTTGTCTCAGAATCTGGGGCAGATTTCACTGATTCAGCTTAAGCCCAGATTGCAGTCAGTGAGGGAACTCTGCACAAGGTCAGAGGCACTGTTTTCTTCTAAAACTCCCTGATGTTGGCAAACAGTAGCGGTTGTTAGAAATAACAAGTCAAGACTTGAGGATGGGTTAGGAGGAAGTTCTTGTTCAGACTAGTCTTTCACTAAAATTGAGTACTCTGCACATGCCCAGAGGAACACTCTCCCTTAGTCATCACTTCCTGAGGCAGAGAGTCCCCTCTCCACCAGCAAAAAAATGGTTTTTAAAAATGTCTGCAAATCCGTGGAATCTGCACAGCTTGGGAGAAAAGGACAGCCTCCTCGGGAACCACACCAGATTTGCTAGGAATCTGAATCCTGTGCAGATTCCTTGCACCACCATGTCCTTGCCGACTGGTGCAACTGAGGCATGGCTACTTCGGGTCGTGCAAATTCCAGAGCTGGTTTGGGACCTGGAGGGCAGGAGATAATGGGAAATACTGCGAGGCGTGGGGGCAGTGTTCCCCTCCTGGCTCGGTGAGGCGGGATTGCCCCCATGGCGCAGCACTGAAGTAGACTTACCAGTTCAGCCCCGTTCCCGCCAACTGGTGTCCTGCCAGCGGCAGGTCTTGGGATCAAAGAAGAGCGAAACTAGCTGTAAAACTCCGGTGCCGTCCATGCCTCCGGGTTCAGCCGCCTGCCATACTCCGCCCTCAGTTCTGGAGGACTGGCCAGCTGCAGTGGGGATGGGAGGAAACCCACTGGGAGCCCCAGCCTCTGCCCCACCAGCCTGGTTCTGCAGGGGCATGTGCTGAAAGAGAGAACGTCCCTGGATTAAAGGGCCTTTGGGCCCTGACTTCCTCTCCCACTTCGGGGCCCTTCATCTTCCTGCCGGAGGATTTTTCTGAAATCGTGTGTCATCCTCCCTCTTGCCTAGAAGTCTCCTTTTACAAATAAGGGACAGAAGGTCTTTTAAGGGTGCACACAGAGACCGTGGCGTGGGTACCAGCTTGTGGTTTTTATGCTAATGCTTAATTATTTGTCTTATGGGCCCATGCCTGGGATCTCTCAGATGCCTGGCACCATCCTTGCATGCAAGAGGCTGGAATCTCACCCGCGCAGGCTGGTCGCTTGTGATGTGGTCGCCAGCTACAAGAGGGCCAGGGCAGGGTCTCCGCAGTCAGAGTCTGAGCACCGAGGTTTGGAGGATGCTGAAGAATGCTGTGGACCCCTAGATAAAACCAGAAGGCCCTCAGAAGCAGCCAGATGGCACTGAGGCCTTTGCAGCAGGAAACAGTGCTTAAACTTTAGTAATGACAATTCTAGCAAAATCACTTCTTGCTAAGATTTTGGACTTTATCTTGCCAGGCGCTTTCATTTACAGTGGTAGCTCAGCTCACAAATGCCTTGGTTCATGACCAAATTGGGTGGCAAACAAACATTTCATAAAAATTTTGACTCAGGTTGCAAACTCCGCATTGGGTGGCTACTGCAATCACAGCCTTCTTCCCCCCGCCCCCAACAATTGTGGTTGTGCTCGGGGGCGGGGGGGGGGGAGATGGCTGCAATTGTGCTGTGGGGCGCGGGGGGAGATGGCCAAGATCGCGCCTGTCTTTCCTGCATGAGTGCAACTGCGATCGCGCCCGTCTCCCCCCAGCCACAAGCACAATTTCACCTGTCTCCCCCCGCCAAGCATGCCTGCGATGTTGCCCATCTCCCCCGAGCATGCTAGACAGGTGCAATTGCGGGCGTGGTTGCAATCACGGTCGTGCTGCTGGTGCAGGGAGGGCAGATGGCCACGATCTTTGTTGTTCTTTGTTACTTTGCTTCTTCACAGTTTTCTTCTTCACATTTTTTTTGAATAAGTTTATTCTTAATAAGTACCAAACCAAAAAAAACAACAACTAAAAATCATCAATCATCAAATGCGTCTGGGTCATCCCCCCATACTTTTTATAGTAATCCATAAACATATTTAAGTCTATGCTTAGCCCCGTTTCTCTAGCCAATAGTAAAAGGAGTCCCAGGTTTGATAGAAGTCTGTATCTTCTTTCTGCTTCAGAGACAAAGTCAATCTGTCCATTTCCACACAGTCCAAGATCGTTTTTAGAATCAGTTCGTCGGTAGGTGGCTCTTCACTCTTCCAGTGTTGGGCAAATGCGATCCTCGCCACAGTAGTTACATGTAGAGTCAAATACATTGCTTGATTACCAACATCATCAGGTACAATGCCTAATAAGAAAACTTCAGGTTTAAATATTAGACGTTTTTCTAACATTCCCTCAAGCCATTTGTGTATTTTAGCCCAGTATTTTTTTTTGCCTTATCATAGGTCCACCACATATGATAAAAGGTACCCAGTTTATGTTTGCATTTCCAACATCCGTTTGACATGTTTGGACTTCTTCACATTTTTCTGATTAAAAAAAAGTAGTTGCAGAATGGATTAACCTCATTTACATTGAACCTAATGGGGAAATTTGACTTGGCTCACGACCACATTGGGTTGCGACTGGAGTCCTGGAACGGATTAAGTTTGCGAGCCAAGATACCACTGTACCTGAAAGGGTGTCTCCAGAAAGCGATGGCTAAAAGCGAGCATTTTCAAGCCTGAGCCTTCCCGACGCGAACTCCACTGAGCAGCCCTGCTGATAATTACGCCGCACGGTTATGCTGCACCTTGGTGCCAGCACCTCTCTTGTTCTCTGTTGTTTCCCAGTACAGCAGCATTATATTTTTCATCCTGTCCCCTGTGATACTGAAGCTGAACGTCGACTATGTGAATTACCGTCCAGAGCCTCTCCGATGTTTCTCTGTTATGCAGATGCTCATTGGTAGGTTGAGGGGGAATTGGCAGGCTTTTTGTGTCTCTTCGGGTGTGCGGCCTCCCCCAAATTCCAGCATGGTCGGCTCCTGCCCTTCAGGTGCATCAAGGACACTGGAAGGATGGTCTGGCCTTGACAGGGATGAGTGTGAAAGCATTTCCGTGATGGGATAGAGGCAAGTTCAGCCCCTACAGAAGATGCTGTTGGCTTTCCTTCCAAAGATACCTCCACGGACAGGCTTTGATGGGGTAAAATTCAAGGAGATTTAAGGAGATTAGAGACATGGGGAAACCCTATACAAAACAACCAGCCCTGCCCCTCTCTGCAGCGCATGCTGAAACACTGTCAGAAGTGCATCTCGGACCACTTTCATCCCAAGGGTTGGAATGTGTATTGGAAGGGAAAAAACAAGCCCAGAAAGAGCTGTTGCCAACCCAGTTGGCATGGGCAGCCAAGACACATGGGCTGCTGCTTCCAACATCTGTACCTAGCATGGCAAGCTGGATGATGGGAGTTGTAGTCAGACATGTCTGGAGGACCGCTTACTAGGGAGACTGCCACAGGGGGCCTCCCCCTGGCAGTGAGGTGGCCACTGTAGCCCTCGCACACCTTTGGCATGCTGGCCTTGGTGAGGTCTAGGACCTTCCATTGTAGCATTTGTGCCAGTGGGTGCCAAGGGTGGGAAGCCCTTGCCCCAAACTCTGGGTGCAAGTGAGGTCCTTGCAGTGGGTGAGGAGGGATGTCATGTGGGGAAAGTGCTTTGCACATGCCCAGAGACCTTCTTGTCTTTCACTGGAATAATTATAAACTGCTTTGTGGAGGGGCAGGGACTCTTAGGACGAAAAGTGGTGAGCAAGGGATCTGTGCAGACCGATGACCAGAGGAACCCTTGCTCCAGTGTTGGTTGCACTGTGTCTGCACTCAGGGTTGGAGCCTGAACTTTAGGCCATGGACGCAGGGCAGGGTCTGCTGGCGCCCGCTCAGCCCATGTTCCTCTTCCGCGGCAGGCCTGTTCTCCATCTATTTCCACATGACGCTCAGCTACGTGGGCCAGCTGCTGGACGAGCTCTCCATCCTGTGGGGGCTGAGCGTGTGCTACGGCTGCTGGTTCCCGCCCCGCTACTTCCCTGGATTTATCAAGAACAGGTGGGAGCCGGCAGAGCCGCTTCTTGTTGGGGGGGCAGGTGGAAGGGAGGCCTCTGGGGCCAAAATCCAGGGCGGACACATGGAGAGGCCGATGCACAAGGCAGGAAGGGACATCAGGGATCGAGAGCCGTGCAAGTGACAGGCTGGCAGAGGCAGAGGGAGATGCTCTGGAGAGAGAGGGGGAGAGGGGGAGATGCACCCAGGCGGATGGCCGTGCAGAGGGGTGGTCACAAGTGCCCCCGGGGGCCAGAGGAGGACTGAAGCAGACGCGTGTGCACACGCATTGCCACCTTCTCTCTAGGGGAGATTTCTCCAGGTTGGTAGAGGGGCGGGGGGTGGGGTGCATCGGTCGCTTTGGGAAATCCCAGGGGCTGGAACAGCGGAGTGCCTACTTTGCCTTGTTCCCAGGCTGGGAGAGGAGGGTCCTCCATAACATCCTTTGATCCCCTGGCCAAGCAGGTTTCACAGGTTTCTAATGTGGTACTGAAAACCTGATGAAGCTGCTTGACTGAAAGGGGGGAAAGTATCCAGATCTACCAGCAGTTTCCCTTCGACAGGCCCTGCTCTTCATTCCTTCAAGGTGCCCGCTTTCAACATTGCACGATATCTGTAATCCTGTAGGGCAGCGCTGGTGAGCGCAAATCTGGCCCTCCTGTTGTTTCACTCTGACCCCCTTGCCATGGCCCAGGACCGGCCACCAATTGTCCCACTGGGCTGACACAAAGGAACTGAGCCCCGGTTTGGCCCACCTGCAACAATGTCTGCCGAGGCCAGACTCCAAAGTTGTCTCTCTGTCCTGTGCTGCCCCATTTCTGGAAGCCGCACTGCTTTGAAAAGTGTCTTTGAAAGGCAGCCTGAGTGGTGTCCTGGTTAAAAGCACAGAAACATAGAAACAGAGCGAGTCAGAAGGGATCTCCCGGGCCATCTAGTCTGACCCCTGGCGCCAGATGGGGCTCAGGGATCCGAGCTCTAGCCCTTGCTCAGCCCAGCAGCCAGCTGGGTGACTCTGGGCCAGTCACTGACTTGCCCAGCCTTACCTCGCAGGGTTCCTTGGAAGGAGGCAGGCAGGGTAGAACTCAAATAAATAAGTAAAGAGAACTCTGCTCATTCCCCATCACCACCTGTAGGGAGCAATTCCTGTGGCTGCTGGCCGTCATGACCATTCTGTGCACCTTCTTGTCCTTCGTTAAACCAGTTTTCAACGCATATTTGCTGAACTGCATTGCTCTGCACCTCTTCTACATGACGTACCTGGAGCTCCGAGGGTAAGAGTGCGGCTTCATTCACCCCCGCCGGCTGTTGAGCTCCTCCAGGCACCACAGGTGTCTGGGACATCTTTGTGCATGAGTGGTGAGCTGGTGGAGGAGGGGCGGCTGCTCTGGGCTTGTGCTCTGGCGGAAAAGGACAAGCAGCCCCTTGCCTGGAGCATGGCTGGCTGGCAAAGCGAGGGCAGTGGAATGCGAGGCGTTCCCAGCACGGTGGCAAGCCTGTTTTTGGGGTGGAGAACTCCTGTTAAGCTCAGAAGAAGCACTGTGACGGATGAGGATCCCTGTCCACACGAGAGCCGCTTAGCCCCCCAGACATCGCTAGTCTGAGCCCATGCAGCTGGGCGAGGGAGCCATTGACTTGCTCCAGGCTTGCGGCCTCCCAGACAGGTGTGGCGGTTTCCGCAGCACTAACAGAGATTCAGGAGAGGAGCCACACTTTTTGGGTGGCCTGGGAGCAGACCAAGGCATCGCCCCTCCTCAGAGTTCTTTTTCTATCTCAGTGGAAGTTCTGGATGGGTCAGTGGCGGGTATCAGTGCATGCTCTCTGGAAGGGTCCAAGGAAAGCACCCACCCCACACACACACACAGGGATCCTGCTCTGGCGTAGGCACAATCTGGGTGCAGAGGCTGGGAAGGACAACCCAGAACAGGAACTCATTCAGGAAAACAGCAGCTGTTCTCTTCTGAGTTTACTCTTGGCCTCTTCCTCAGCTGTAACAATCCACGGGTGCATCATTTGGCTGTGAGCATGGCAATATTGTGGGGCATTGCTATCAGCTGCTGGCTGGTGGACAAGCTTCTATGTGGATTCTGCCAGAAGATCAACTTCACCTACTTTCACAGTCTGTGGTAAGAAAAAATGAGAGAGAGAGAGAGAGAGAGAGAGAGAGAGAGAGAGAGAGAGAGAGAGTGTGTGTGTGTGTGTGTGTGTGTGAGAGAGAGAGAGAGAGAGAGAGAGAGAGAGAGAGAGAGAGAGAGAGAGAGAGAGGGGTTTCATGGAAATGCTGGTTCAAGGTTTGCATTGCTGTAAGAAGGGCTAGCAGTTCCGAGAGGGATGTGGAACCTCTTTCCCAGGAAGTCAGCATTCAGAGAGCGGGAGGCAGGAATGCACCAAAGCTGGGAAACTTCCGAACAACTGATGGTCAGAGGGGAGAGAGTGGAGACTTTGAGGGTGCCCAAAGGCCTGGCTTTGCCCCCTCGCTGGCCTGATGTTGCAGGGGCTGTCCTAGCGGAGTCTGCTGGCTGCCATGACAGGGGGCAACACATCCACTCCAGATTGTAGGCTGAAGGTTCTCAATCCTGTGTTGGGGATACACTTCAACACCATGGACAGCACCTTTATGCTCCAACGGGGCCCCAGAATGGGCAGAAATGAGGTGGGAGCTTGAGGGGGCCAGCAGCTGCCAGTCCAATCCAACAACGAGACAAAGCAGAGGAGGTGAGCTGCAGGATGCCTGGGAGGGAGCAGTGTGAAGTGTGCGATTTAGAGCACAAGCAGGAGCAGCGAAGGGCGGCTTTTCAAAGCAGGGGATAGAATGGGAGGGAAGGCCAAGCAGCACACGGCAGAGGATGCACAGACTGCACCCCAGCACCCATTTTAGCCGTCCTTGCCCAAACAAAGACCAGATCTTCTTCCATTTAACCTACAAGTCAGAATTTACCGGGCCACAAGCAAGAGGGAGGATTCTCCCAGGTGTCCAATGTGCCAGCCCTTTCCTTTTTCCTGCCAAGATGAGGGTGGAGGCCTGCTGCTGGGGATGGCTCCACAGGCCCCGGGACAAGCAGAGGATTCAGGTGGGCCCAAGCAAGCTTCGCACTGGAGTTCCTCCCTCTGTCGCAGCCAGTGCAGAGGCTGGATCCTTGAGGAGGAGAGTGCGTGGGGCTCAGGCACGGGGGAGCAGGATGTTCAGCCCACATTTTAACACAAACGTGCCTGATTTTCCATTCCCAAAATGCCGCGTGAGCTGAGCCCCCCCTCAAAAATCTTATGTGTCCAAATTTTGCAGGGGACATCTCCTGACAAAGCAGTGCCCTACACAGATGGCTGTCTGGGAGGAAGGACAAAAATGGCAAACATGCATACCATCTCAAAAATGTGCTCAATTTGGAACATTGCTTACCAAATAATTAGGCAATACTGTGTAAAAACCCATGTGTACGGCAAGAGCTGTTTGGAAAAAGCTGTATGCAAAATTTGCAGACTTGGGGCCATTGGAAATTAAGATTTGAAAGACTCTTCAGGCGTGAAGAGCTGGTGTGGTGCGGAGGTTAGAAAACTGGACTGGGACTTGGGAGGTTGGGGTCCCAGTCCCCACTCACTGGGGGACTCCAAGGAGGAGCACTGGGCAGCCTTGGTGCCTCTCAGTCCCACCCACCTTGCAGGGTTGTTGTGCGGATGAAAAGGAAGGGGACAGAGAGGATTATGGAAGCTGCCTCAAGTTCCATGGATGGAAAAAAGGCAGGATATGAATGAATGAATGAATGAATGAATGCATGCATGAAAAATAAAAAAGGAACCCTTCACTGAGTTCAGAATGATGTGAACTCAGAACTGGAGGAAGGAGACATGGAGAGAAGCCAACTCTGGCCATGATGTTGTTGTTGTTATTTAATTTTTATACCACCCAATCGCCAAAGCTCTCTGGCCAGTTCACAAGAAGGATATTGCAGAATTTAATTATTTTTTTTAATTTTTGAATTTATATACTGCCTACTAGTCCAGAAAGGATTCTCCGAATCTGAAAAGACACATAATATTAAAACATCACAAAAAGTTTACAGTACAAAACTTAAAACCAAATTTAAAACAAATCAAATGTATAACCTGAAGAAACACCTTAAAGTTTTTGTTGCCACTCTTGCGACAGTGGTGGGCATTTCTGTCTCGCACAATGCCACTCACGCTGCACCCAGCCATGTGTTCTGTTCTCCCCACAGGCACATCTTCATTGCAATCAGTGTGCAGCACTGCATCACGCTGGTCATCTACTTCGACGTCCTGTTCCGTGCGCCAGGCACCCAGCCCCAGATAGTGCACTGGCCCTGTGCAAGCAGCCCCGTGACGTTGCCATACCTCTCGCTCCAGAAGCCATAGATGTGCCAGCCCCCGCTGGCTTCACCAGGGCAATTCTGCACTGACCCTGGCACTGAAGTATTTAATCAATGCAGATATTTATGGGACAGGACGAGGCAGCACCACTTGGCTGCCTCTGCTTTGCAGATTTTCACCCACCCAAAGTCTGTTCTGCTCCTCAAGCCTGGATCTTATGACACATCGCAAACACACGCATGCAAAAGCTCACCTTTAAAATATGGTTGCCCTACATCTGTGCTCTCCAGGGACCCTCTCTATGCCAAGTTTCTCAAAATGCAATGCTCCAAAGTGGGGTTTTTGGGTGAGGGGTGGGGTCCTTTTGGAAGTGTGCTGCTTCATTCCAGTTTGCACAGCAGTGTCTGAACAGAGCAGCAATTTTGTTTCAGAAAATTTTTCTAGATTGCTGGTAACTACAGCTATTTTGTGGCACATGTGTGCATTGGCAGGCTATGGGGTGATTCTAGTTTTTCATAAAGGCAAACACGCAAAATGGACAACTCGTTTGTTCAGAGTTGTTTTGGAACACATTAAAACTGACCATTGGTGCTTTCCTGGTCTTTGGTGGCTGGAATCCTGGGCTCCCTGCAAGACACCACAGGGGCTGAGAGAGCTGGATTCCCTCCTGTGCAAGGGCAGAGGAAGGGGTGCACAAGGCCTGCCTTGGAGGCTCCCTCCAGGTCCCAGAGGAGCAAACCTGCCTTTCCCCCTCCAACTGCAGACATGCAGCCAGAGGACAAAGCAAACGTGGGCAGATCAGGTTTGGGCTCCACAGACATGCCTCTGCACATGGAGGGGAGTGCACACGTAATTGTCTCCCCTAGAAAGGAGAGCAGCGAGAGAGAGAGAAAGAAAACAAAGCACAGCATGGGGGCGGGGAGGGGACTCAAATGCCTCGCCTTTGCTCCTTCTCTGGAAGGATTCTGAATTTTTGGGGGACTCCCCATCCCTTGCCCACCCTGACAGGTTTGCTCAAGTCAGTGCATCTTCCCTGCTCCAAAGCGGGAGTAAGGAGCTCATTGCGCCATGAGGCTTTTTTGTGGGCATGTTGCTTGGTGTCTTATTTCTTTAAACAGATACTTAGTGGAAAAGGTCCCCTTGATAGGATCTGTGCTGTTGAAAATGTAGCAAGCAGAGCCTGAGCCTGGTTGGAATCTGGAGCTGCTTAACTGATACAGAAAAGACGTACAGGCCTCAACATACTTTGAAGAGTCGCCATGGAACATGGTTTCATGTTGGCTCCATCCCTGATGTCCTTAGATTGCAGCTGGCTTGCAAAGAACCCCTGGTGGCATTTTATGTGGTCCCTCTTCCATTTCCTGCTCCCAGCAGTCGTGCGAGGGAGGCTGGGCAGGGAACAGACGTCGGGGCGTGCTGAACTTCCCACATCCCAAGGGCCAAAGGGCAGGGCTGAAATGGCAGACAAACCTTCATTCACAACACCGGCACTGCTGACCCCACTGTTTGTGACGTTGCCTCTCTCTTAGATTAGATCCTTTGCATCCATTTCCATATGATTATTTATTGTTGCATTGCATTTTTATCTTGTCCTTTTATCTCTCACGAGGACTCTCAAGTGGCTTCCACTCCATGTTACCCTCACCTGTCCTGGGCAAGTGGCGACTAGAACCTGAGTCTCCCAGGGCCCAGTCTGACATGCTTGTTCCCAATTTCAGCACCCCCAAAATCCCCAGTAGAAGCAAGCCTATGGAAGGGCACGTAGCGAAAGCATGGCAGCCATGTTGCTTTTCCTGTCCAGGAGGGAGGGGAGAGAGGAGGAGCGGTGACCCCATGTGAACTCCTGTGACAAGGCAGAGGAATCTCAAAGGAGAGGCAAATGCGGAGAAGCCATGGTGCCTGGAACCACTCGGAATCTCAGTGCAAGTTGCAAGATGCATTATGAATTACAGCACACAAGGCTGGTGTGAATGGTGGCAAGATTATGAGTGGACGTATGTTGAGGAAGTCCTTGGGAAGATAAAGGATTCCTTCAAAGAAATAACAAAAGGTGCCAATTAACAATATATGAATGTATCTAGCATGTTTCTGGACATCATACCTGTGACATAGGGTATATAATGTTGGTTTTCGGTACTTTGAGACTCTGGTTTGGGAAGCCTCTCTGTCTCTGTTTATTCTAAAGTGCACTAGAATAAAACTTTTTGGCTCTAAGTCTTGTCTCAGGCTCCTTTTGACTTGGGGTCTGGGGTCCCCCTGGGCTTGCTCTGGCTGTTGCCTGGATGAATCCAGTAACACACTCACCCCCACCTGTGTGTGCCCCCCCTCCAGGGTGCTGTTTTGCACCAGGGGGTGGAGAGGCCGATTTTGAGCTGCCTGCAGAGTACCCCACAGAGAAAATGCCCTCAGGGGCTTCATCTGTCTCCCCAGCCATTCTAGCGGGTTTTATCCCTGCCCGGCCAGGAGCAGGTCTCGGGCCTCGCAAACGGGCCTTTAGTGCTCCTAACACTTGGCCTTACAGCAAGAGGGGACTTTGCTCTGCAATGGGGCTGTTGCATCAATCCTGGGGAAGGCCGCCTGCCATGGTCCCCGTACCCTGGGGACTGCTGTGGGCTCAGATGGCACAGGGGAGTCGAGCAGGAAGCGGGCAGCACCAGGATCCCTGTGCACAGCCCTGCGCCTCAGCACGCATCAGGTACCACACCTCCCGCCCTCTGTGGCGCCTCTGCCAGGTTCTCAGAACTTCTGTGTGCTGAGCCAGAACGCATTCCCAAGTAACCAGCACAACAGAATGCTTTGGCCCCATGGCAACGGCTCCGGGAGTCAATCCCCATGGATACACCTCCCCCACCCTTTCCCACAAAGGGCGTCCGCCACATGGGCAGACTGCACTTCAGTGCCACAGAGGGACTATGCAGCAACCCAAAATCTTTTACCCACAGCATGAGACATACCCCACCAGGCCTTTAGAACGACCGGAGGGCCAGCCAAATCTACCCTTCTCAGCTTTCGTCCTTCCAGAGAACCTTGCCTCCGTAGGTAGGACAGCACAGAAGCCGGTCGAGGGTTTCCTTTGGCATTAGCCTGAAATGATCCCTCGGGGTGCAGCTGCTCACAACTGTGCTGCAGCTGAAGTTGTCCCCCACTGCAGGGAAAGTCCACCAGGTCGGGGCCGGAGTTTGCCACCTTGCTTCTGTGCTTCCCACTGCAACTCCCGGTTGTATGAAATGGCACACACGTGTCCACGCCACATCCTCCCACTTCAGCTTCCTGGTCCCTGCTGCAAGGGAGGGTGGGTGAGTTGGGCCCATCCTTTGACTGCAGGTGCTCCATTTCTGCCCACCTCCCTTCCCTTCTCATGAGAGACAAGCTGGGTGTCCAGTCAGGACCCTTTTCCACCTTGTGCACGGAGTGCTTTCGAGAGGCTTTCCTCCCATGGAATGATGCCAATGGGACAATGTTCTGTTCTTTCGCTCCTCTTCAAACAAGAGCAGAGGGAATTCCACACGGTGCATTGTGCCAGCCACTGAGCTGTTTGAAAACACCTTGCACCATCATGCACAAATGCAGAGAACACAAAAGAGCGAAGGGCGTTGGACCTCTTCCATGCCGAGGGCTGGATGTGATTGTGAAGCTGCCTCTGGAGCTGCACTCTTGCAGTGGGCGGGCCAGGCACTCAGGATCACCCCCCGTCATAGCTTGAAGCTCTTGCCACGAGTCCCAGAACCTGGAGGGACACATTCCATCTTCCTGGAAGGGAGAAAAACTGCACAGAAGCAGGAAATGTGGGGGCCGTGCTTTCTCCTTCAAACAAATACCAGCCACAGACTGTTTTCTTTGCAGCTGTTCTTTATTGCCTCTAGTACAAATCACCCAGACCAAATCTCTGAGCATGCCCAGAGTGCTTTGTTGCACCCAATCTAGTGATTACTTCCAGGAGCTCTCCTTGCAGTTTGGCACCTGAGCCCCCATCCTGTGGGAGGGGCTCCCTGTGGGCCTGCCGACTGGCATCCTCTTGGCATGCTGCTCATCCAGTTGGGTCTCTCACCTCTGTGGGCACCATGCCAGGGATTCGGCTCAAAGAGGGTGGTCGGCCTGCGTCAAGGAGTTCCTTGTCCCCTGCAGTCCCTCCCACAGCTGTATGTCCAGCCCATTCCCAGGATCTGCCTGGTGAGGTGAGGCGCTGGCTGATCACTTGGCCTCCATCCCAACCCCTTGAGCCAAACCTGCTCCCCAGGCTCACTGAGACATTCCTCACCACTCAAACCTGAACCCGCACCTGAGATGCAGTTGGTACCCCGTGGGAGGACTTCCCCCTGCCTGCCACCCCTCTTGCTCCCAACCAGAAAAAAGGAGTGGCCTGAGAAAGGGGCGTGCCTTCCAGGGATGTCTCCTGTGGACAGGATTGGAACCCAGGGCTGTCTCCTCACAGCAGCGCGCAGGCAGCCACTGGCAAGGAAACACAGAAGACAGTCATTGAGATGTTCCAACAAGCAGCCTTCCTCTGTCCGGGGGCCCTTTCACCGAGCAGCGAAAGTCTTGGGAAGGCCACGGCAGCCTGGCAAACACTTTCATGGATCCAAGGTGGCCGGCAAATGTATTATCTGTGGCGGTCAAAGTGGCAAGGGCACGCGGGGGAGACGCCTGGCGAAGGAGGCTGGGGCAAGGGCTGTCCTCCACCAGGACATGCTCAGCACAGGCTGGCAAGAGTGGGTTCTCTTTGTGTTTCCATTGCAGGGACGCCTGCCTTGTACCAGCCCCCCAACCAAGAGAAAGAGCTTTTCGCAGCACCCCCAGCAGGTAACGCCGCATGGCCCGTTCGCAGCTGAGGGTCGGCCTGCATGGAGGGACAGGGGGCAGAAGAATGGGCCCAACTGGGGACAGGATTGGCTTTCCCACAGCACATGGGCAGCAGCCTGAGGGGCGGTGGGGGGTGTGACGTGGGCTCCCGTGTGTCCGAGGTGCCTCTTGACCAGTGTCCACGTGGCGCAAGCAGCGTGATGAAAGCCCGCAGGGATGCAGGGCCCCGCCTTTTGGGCCAAGAGATTCCTTTGAGGCAGCGTGATCACCCCTGAGCTCTTTGCTGGACAAGTGGCCAGTGGCTACAACGGGCCTGCTGAGATGGCTTGCCCAGCAGCCTGCCTTTTCTGGACTCTGCCTGGGGTCGTGGTTGTGGAAATGGCACCTCTACACTTGCCACTGAACCTCCGTGTGCAAGTTTGTAAGTTTTGGTGCACTTGTATGCTGCCACATGTGCCAAAGAACCAGTTGGGATGTTGGGGACACCCAACATTGGATGAAGGGGAGAAAGGGAGCAGCACCAGCTTGAGCTTTCCAGAGTTTCTTTCCCCAGCTCTTGAGAGAAATGCCTGACCACCCAAGGGCACAAACCAGCTCTCTCCATTTTCCCTCCACCTTTAGCCAGGACACACAGTCTCCTCATCACCATCCAGAGTCCAAGCCCTCACTCAACCCCGAAACACTTTGCACTGCATCAGTGTATCGCTGCTGGGGAGTGAGGCTTGCAGTTCAGGGGGAAATCTGGGGGGGGGGGCAACTGGAAAAAAGTCCCCAAGCTTTGATTTGCAGCTTCATGCTGCCACTCTTCTCAGAGCTAAAGACTTGACTACAGGAGATTAACTGTTATCATCGGACCTGTTGGATCTGGAATTGCTTCTGCATTTCTCCAACTGTGAGCAATCAAGCTCGATTCATACTGTTATCAACTTCTACTCCAGAATATTACAGAATGTTCCAAAGTATTTTCAGCATGGACATCCATTTTAATCCTCCTAACAACCCCTTCAGGTAGGCAAGGCTGTGAGCCTGAGACTGGCTTGCACCTTGCTTGTTCCACTAGCATCTTCCTCCAGCTATTTGAACTTGATTCCAAAATTTGCTAAGTACCATGGACAGCTCCTTCAAGTTCAGGCTGCGCCCCCAGGCACTCTTGGGTCTCTCCCTTACTGAGCCCTAATATAAGAAAGGCATCTTTCTAGGGCAAAAGATACAGAGCAGCAAAGCAAGCACACAAGGACAGCTTCTTGTAACTTGAAGCCCCGAGTGTCAGGTGGCTAGATTTGCCCCCATGCTAAGTAAGGTTCCCTGCACCCATTTGGGCTGAGGGAGGAGCTCTTGCTTCAGCCATGGATTGATCTTGCTGATAATGCAAGCCAGGACTCTACTCGTGAGCTACAGCAGTTCCAGGATCTTTCCCACTTGCCATCTCAGATGTGGCTATTACTGGGTCATTCATGGCATGAGAATGGCTTGTGCACAGAAAAGCCTCAAACAGCTTGCACCTAGAAAGCAACCTCTCAGGGCCCTTGACTTGTCTTTCCCTTGACCTGCTTAAGTGCATGCAGGGACATCCCCCGCCCCCAACGGTGGAGCACTTAGTCAGAGTCCCTTCCCCACCAAGCAAAGGAAGGTGTGCCAAGGGTTGGCTGCTGCTGTTCGAAGCGGACCGCGTTCCGGATGGGATGCAGACCACGCCTGGCACACCTGCAGTCCCCCAGCGGAATCCCTTCTGCAGCTCATGCCTCTCTCCTCCTCCCAGGATTCCACATGGCTCCGTGTGGCTGTTTCTTCGACCCCAGGATCTACCGCATCGAGTGGGCAACAGCCAATTTTGTCCAGCCTTCGGTGTACAAAGTCTCCAGCGGGCCAGGCCCACAAAGCACGTATCTTCTGGATGGCCAGAAGTACCTCAAGGGCCCCGTCCAGCCTGTTCCTTACCCCCCGTACCAACACGTTGCCAGCAACCCCCCGTTTGTTCTGCCCTTTTTCAAGACCGAGGCTCCTGCAGGGGGCAACCTGATGGACCGTGTCAGCCTCATCGGCCACCCAGTCCACAGTTCCCTGTTTGCGGACGTGCCCCGTCTCTCCGCCGAAGGCCAGGTGCCAAGCGGGGACCATGCGCTGCCAATCACGATTCCTGGACCCCCCGCAAAGGAGTCGCCTGGTAGCCCGGTTGTCGTTGCTTATGAACAGCCCAAAGGGCAGCTGGACCCCTGCCCGGATTTGGCCTTCCAAGTGTTCAAGGACTTTCCAGCAGAAGATGGCAGATTTAAGGACAGCGAAGGGAGCCAAGATTTTGTAGCGACCTCTCCGGGCCCCAGTGTCCCACCTGAAAGCCTTGGTATGCCTGGCACAGAGGTAACAACAGGCACAGGGGACAGTGCAGACCTGGAGTGCCTGCTCACCAGCGAAAGCGCGTTGCTGGAAGACCCGGAGGAGCCCTTCAGCCTCCCTGACAAGGTCCTTTTGGAAGATGCCATGAAACTCTTTGACTGCTCTCCGGCGAACTCTGACACGGAAGTGTCCCTGGATGACCTGAGCAGCGGCGGTCCCCACGGGCACCAGCACGACACTCTGCACGACGCCGGCTTCTCCAGCGAGGACTCCTCCAGCGACATCCGGTCCCTCAACCTGCCGGATGAGCTCCTGTCTTTCGACTACAGCGTCCCCGAGATCCTCAACGCAGTGACAAGCCTGGATTATCTCTATGACGTGAATGCTTTTGGGGAGGACACACGATGGGAGGTGCTGAGTTCCCAGCCCGCCCCCAAACACGAGTGCCAGTTGGAGCTGCAGCAGAAAAGGCGGAGCGGCATTGCGGCTTCCAGGAAAGCAAAACCCACAACTGGCAAGCCAAATCTGGCACCAGCACAGAGGGGCGATGGGGAAGCTCGGGAGGTGGAACCCACTCTCCCAGCAGTCTGACTGGTGTATCGGTGAGAGTGGACCTGAAGCAGAAGCAAGGCTGGTTAGACCTTCTTGTCTATTAAAAACATACACAAGGTTTTTAGAAATCTGAAGTCTGCACCAGTTTTTTCCTTTTTTGTGAGTGGGGGGTAGGTGTTGCCATGGGGGGATCGTTCACCCGTTTGGGTAAGTGGTGCAGCTGGATTAGCATGTCTCTCCTTGCTGACTTCAGAACATCCTAAGCCAGGCCTGGTGGCCCCCTGGCATCTGCCCGAGTCCTGCCAGTTCTGAATGTGGCTCCTCCAGAAAACTAGCCTGCACTGCATTTGCTAACAGCCCAATGCCTTTGGTTCCCCCCATCCCCAAATCATAATCTCTGCATGGTGAAGGAGTAACAGTTGCCTGCCTTCACATCCTTGCCCTGGGCATGCCTATTGCTCCAAAGTTGCCTGCAAGCAGTGACTCAAGCAGAGCAGCAGCAGGAGGAAGCCTTGTCTGAGAATGAGTTACTACACAGACGGTCCCCACTGGGGGGAGCTGCAGCTCCCCCCCCCTCCCCGGGTCCGCTGGCTGAGCCCAGTCCACCCACAGCTGTGGAGGGCTTGCTGCCCCCCAGCCCCCACTTTGCATCTCCCTTCCCAGATGCCTGGGGGAAGGTGTGGTAGACATGGCACCATTTCTCACAGAGCAGCTGGAGTGTGATTGATTAAGGATGATAAAGTGAGTTCAGAGCTGCAACAGAAAAATTTGCTTCGCATTGTCCTGTCACCAGTATAAGAACTCCAGCTGGGGAGGGTGTGTCTGTCTGGCCCCCGATTTGAGCCACCAAGGATATGCTCAGGGCAATTTCCCTGCAGTGCTGCCCCTCACAGAGCCCCCCACATGGTTGCGGTGGGCTTCGCCCATCACAAAAGGCTTCTTTTCCAGGATGGAAAACTTGGCCAACTTGGAAGAGTGAAGGACGAGCTGTGACAGGGAGAGTCCTGTGTTTGGTGCTACAAGGCACAACAAAGTCCCGTTTTGCAGAAGGCAAAGTGATGGTGCTGAGATGCACGCACTGCGGAGGTGCTGCAGTGATGTCCCTGGAAATGAATGTTGCAGAAGGGCAACACTGCACCGCTTGGCAGTCTTGCAACCAGTTACTTTTAATGAAAACATCTCTTTCAAAAAATCAGATGTAAATTGGGAAAGGTGGGGAGCCTGGTAGGTTCCAGGGGAGTTGTCTGTGGGCGCCCTCCACATTGGGGAGCAAGTCCGGTTCTGCAGGGCTAAGGGCTTCACAGGGTCATGGCAGAGACCCACAAGGTGCAAACCTGCCCAACATTTCCTCCTTAACGTCAACCTTTGCCATGTTACAGAATGGCCAGCAGAGGAGGCCACGGGCACCTCAGAGGGTTGTAATTCCTTCCAAGTGGGCCTCTATGAGAATTTTGTTCCAGTTCAGTTTTGATTGGGATTCACTGAATTTGCAACCTGTGGCTGCAGTCTGTACATTCTCAAGTTTGCAAGCTTCCAAGCATTCATGAATTTAAAAAAGCAAAAGAAAAGTGTTCAGCAGCCTGTGTCTGTCTGAAAAACGCACATGAGAAATGCAGGCTTCTAAAAAATGATGCAAATGAGCTTTAATCATCAGGGGAGGACACGTACTTTGAAGGAGCACGCAAGCAGCGTGCCCACTGGCAACAGTGGCTACTCACGTGCAAAGAAAAACACCTGAAGCTTGGAGCTAGATGCAGGCTTTGCTGAGCTCCAGTACAGATGTTTGGCGCCGCTCGAATTCTAGGCCAAGAACAGTTAAAGGGCATGGAGCGGAGAGAGCAAGGCCAACTGGGAGCTACTGGGAGACCACATGGTGGCTGGCAGTAGATCCGCACCTGCACCTGCGTACACAATAGCCGCCAATGCTGAAAATGCAGCCCCTGCCCAGCTCGGCTGCACATTGGCTTTGTCCAGCCACCTGTCCTTAGCCTCTGTGTGCCGCACCTGTGAAATGGGAGCAAGGGATGGGCTGCCGTTTGCTCTGCTGGCCTTCGGGAGGTTTGCCTTGGAGTCCTGCAGTTGCCGCAACATCCAATGCAGACTTGTGCGGGGTGGGGAGACTGCTTCCACTGCTGTATGCTCCCCACATCCTGTACCTGACCCTTGCTAGCAGACCTTGGGGTTCTCAGAAGTCCCACTGATCCCGCAAGCACTGATGCCCAGCTGCAGTGGGGGTGGGGAGAAGTCCCTTCCCACTTAAACTGAAGGCGGGGGGGGGGGGAAGGCGGTTCGGGGCGGGGTGTGGGAGGAGGCGGGTGAAGGCACACGGGAAGCGAGTGCGCCACCCCCCCACCCCCGGAATACGACCGTCCACCAAGGGAGTTTCAAGAAAAACACACCACCCTTTCTGCCCACAGTGTACATTTATTTGGCAAGTCAGGGAGGTGTGGGGGGATGGGAGGGTGCCAGGCAGCCCTATCTTTGCCCTCCCCTCTCCCAAATGAGGCACAGTCGAGGGGCAGACCACACAGAATCAAGTGGATCCACATCACAGTGGTATCTGGGCAAAACCTGAAAAGAAAGCTGGGGGGGGGGTGGCTGGTCTCACCGATGCCCCCCGCTGGGAACTGCTCCCCTAGCCCTGGTTCTTGGACAGTTCTGCAGTCTGTTGGACATGTCAGTAAGGCAAGAAAGAGAGAGAATGCGACAGAAAGCGGCTCTGAGGAATGCCTAGTTTCTCAGTGCAGCCTGGCCAGGCCAGCCCCAACTCGGCTCTTCTGCAAAGAGACAAGTAAACATTAAAAGGAAACTACGAGGCACTCATATTGCGGAGGAGTCGGAAATCCAGCTGAAGGGATCCCGGAAACTTTGGAATTTAGCTTCTTTCAGGGTCGGAGCCAAACGTTGCTTCTCCCATGCCCTCAGGGGGACAGAGGACTCTGGATCTCCTGCAAAGAGGGGGCCGGGTCACCCCGCTCGCGCTTCATGGGGGGCTCGCTGGCACACTGGGAATCTGCCTCCGTTTCACTCCCAAAGTCACTGACGTCATCTGGGGGGGAAATATCAACCCCAGTCACAGCTGTGGAAGAGAAGCCCCCAGGCTGTGAGACTGCCCCTCCCTCTGGAACAATGGAGTAGGGGGCAAGAAGCAAATACCTTTGTCCAGGTGAGCCGGGGATGTGGGTGTGAGATCGCTGAACTGGAAAGGGAAAATTGGGGTTGGGGTTACATTTGGCTTTTAGATTATTGAGAACTTCCCCCTCCCCACATATTTCCCACCCCACCTGTGCTCATCCAGTCCACTGGGTAACTGTGGCTCTTCAGCTTTTCAAGAAGGGGCTTCGATCACCACCTGGAGGGGCTGCGGCTCGAGCCAGGACTTTCTGCCTGTGCAGCTGGGCTCTATCACTCAGGTACGGCCCTCTGCAGCAGGCCTAGGCTGGGAACAAGCCGAATGGGTGGGGTCTTCCCCCATAAACCCAACTGCCACTGGGCACTTGCTGCTCTGGGGCCCCGCCTGAGCCCAGCATTTCCTCCCTCTGGCCACCCCTCCCCTTCTCCTGCTCTCACCTCTCCCATCACGGCAATGGGGGTCTCCCCCGTGGCTTGGGCCACACGGTGCTCCACCAGGTAAAACATGTATTCATCGTACAGCAGCCGGATCAGGTGAAAGGAGCCAAAGCTGGCCGCACTGCGCAGAGTCAGGTCTCGGATCACCATGGAGCTGCCAGGGGGACACAAGGTGAGAGGTCCGCACCATGCGGAATCCGCCTGGGGGAGCCCCTGGGGCAGCGTGGGAGACACCAGGAGCCCTGACGCCACGGGGCCCTTGCAAAGGGGGTGGGGTTGCCCAGGGGAGCAACAGCTGCGGCTGGCTGGTGGCAAGACTCGCTTCCCGGAAGGCAACAAGGCGAGATGCAGAGACGTGACTTGCTAAAACGCAAAGCTGCTTCAGAATGGAGCTTGTGAGCACAAACCAAGCTTGGTACTGGGGGTTGGAAGGGCACCAGCCACCAGTACAAAAACACACAGTGGGAAAGAAGCAGAAGGAAGCGCTGCCGCTCATTTCTGCTCCTCAGAGGCTGATCTGAGCAACGAGGTCCTCCTCCAAATTTTCCGCCCTGTTCCAGATGATCCTCACATTCCTCCCTTGAACTCAACCTCCATGCAGAGAAGAGGCTTTTTCATGGGGAGCCTATCCCTCCCCAGCTGCAGCCCCCATGAAAGTTGCCCCCCGTGTGCCAGCAGGCCCCGTGAGCCCTGGCACACACTCCCGGGCGGGGGGGGGGGGCGCCGAGACCGCAGGAAGAAAAGCGCAGCAGGGCAGCTGCTCGGAGGCCGCTTTCCTCGCTGTCGAGAAGCCTGCCTCTTGGCATGGCCAGTTCCCCCTCTGACTGACCAGAGACACTTGGGCTGGTGAGCCAAGAGCCCCTCCCGCCCGTTTCCACTGTGCCAGTACGGCTCCTTATTTGCTGCAACCTTCCTTCCGATGGGCCTGTTTCCGGGATGGGGTTTGCCCCCCAGACAACCCCATGCAACCCAGAGAGGAGGCTGCGCTGGCTGGGGGGCCCAGTGCAGGCTTCCCAGTGCCTGGGCAGGCCCCTCCTGAGCGCAGCACAGGGGAGGGGAGGGCAGGGACCCCTGGCCCTGCATCAAAGCCCCCACAGCCCCTCCCGAAGAGAAGGCGGCGACGGCTTGCCTGTAGAAGGACCACTTGAGCAGGAACTGCCGGGCCGCCCTGGGGAAGCCGGGCCCCCCCTCGTGGGGCGCCAGGGCCTGGGTCACGACGCCGTCCAGCCAGCCGGCCCACTGTTCCAGGGAGCTCTGCTGCTGCAGGGTCAGCTTGAAGTCCTGCTCCAGCTTCTGCACCAGCCCCTCCTCGCACTGGCACACCCACGAGGCTTGCTCCTGCAGCGGGCGGCACGGCACGGCACAGGCACGAGCTGGCATGAGGGCCACGAGGCGAGCGAGGCTGCCCCTGCGCACCAACCGCCCCACAAAGCAGCGCGCTTGGAAACCCGGGGGCGAGAGACGGGGTGGGCCTGGGTGTGTGTGCATGGCACCCCGTCTGCGGAGTGGTGACCCAGCTCCCCGTGGGAAGCCCCAGGGTGGCCGCCGCGCAGCCCCAGCCATATTTCCCATCAGCTGTGCACATCGGTGCACTGCCGGTGAAGCAGGGTGAAGTGCAGGATCTCTGGGACTAGCAGCCAGGGATGGCCCCTTCCCCAAGAACTGTCCAACCCCCCCCCCACCCCAAAGCCATCCCAACATCTCTGGCAGTGCATCCCCTAGTTTAATTCCTTCAGTATGTCCTGAATGTTGCACCAGCCAAGCCTCACTGCGTGACCCCTTTGGGTTCTGCTATGTGGAGGAAGGCCTCCCCCGCCACTCTCTCCATGCATTCCTCTGGACCCCTCTGTCACGTCTCCCCCTCCTCACCCTTTCTCCCAAGCGGAATTGCCCAAAAGCCGCTGGATTATTTTAGCCTTCGTTTTCTTCCCCGTCTGATACTAGAATGTCCATTGTGTGCTGAGGCAACCAGAGCTTTACCACTATTTGAAGGGTGGTCACACTAGAGATTTGGATACAGGGAGAGCAGTTTTATTTTCAATTCCTTTCCTAATCATGGCTAACATGAACTCGGCCCTTCTTCACAGCATCTGTGCGCTGGGTTAACATTTTCAGATAGCTGGCCACCACAACCCCAAGACCCCCATCAGGGTCCATTACCACGTCATCAGATCCCACTAGCTTATACATGAAATTTCCAGTGTGTGTTACATTTCCATTTTGATGCTCATTCTCCCAGTTTGACATCAAGGATTTCCTCCTTTCGGAGGCAAAAGGAAAAAAGGGGACCAGGAGGGGAAAAGAAAACAGTGATTGTTAAAATAAGGATAATTCTAATATAAGATTTAGGCAGAAGAATAGGAAAAAGTGCTATTTCATTTTGCTTGGTAATTCCTTTCATTAAGGGCTTTAGGAGGCTGTCTAGGAGAATACTAATGAAAAGATTGTAGGCCCTGCCTAGAAATTAAGAATGGCATTGCTGTGTGTTTCTTGAAGGCCCTTCAGGAAACCACTAGGTTTCAAAATGTGATCTGAAATAAGGTTTTCATAGAGTCCAAGAAGAGAACCCTTAGGTTATGGGGCCACATGGAAGTAGAATTGATTGATTGACTGACTGACTGAATGAGTTGGCTTGGTTCATTTCAGATGTGCCCCACTAGAAAGATAAAGGCTGACTTTTAGTTTTAAAATGATAAAAAAGCGAGTGCAACCCACTAATTCCTAGCATGACATCATCCAACGGCCCTGCTGCACAAGTGGGATCAGTATTTTGGAGGGTGGCAAAGGTCTTCCTATATCAGACGAATCAAATGGGCATGAACCAAACATTTTGGCTTTCTGAAGAGAATGCCAACGTTGCAGGAGAACCCTCAAGCTGGGTCCCTCAGGTGTGTTTGGACTACAGTTCCCACCAATCCAAGCCCACTTGGAGGGCCCTAGGTTTGGGGAGGCAGAGTTACACTAATCTCTGGTGGTTGTTACATTCAGAAGGGGGGGGGGGCATTCCCTGCACATACAAAAAGCATCACAGAGGTTTGGTGGCACGTGCAAGAGTAAGGGAGAGAGAAGCAGCCCTGGCCCACCTGGACATTGCTGAAGTCCACCCGGTTGAGGTCACTGAGCATCTGGTTGATCTGGGAGGTGTTCTGGAGGACAGCGCGGGCTGCCTGGGCCAGGTGGTTGAGGGATGTGTATCGGCGCAGTGTCTGGGCAAAGGCACTCACCACACCCACCTGGTTAGGCAGGGAGAGGAGAAAGACAGTGAGGCGGGCTCCTGGGTGGAGGGAGTTCAGAAGTGGGCACGTGTCTCTCCCCTCCGCTTGGTGATTGTGGCCGTGGGCTGCTTGTTTGTAGAACATGGCCAACAGTTGCAACCAAAGCACCCTACCTGCAAGGAGCTTCTAATCTGAATTTAGAAGCAGGCGGGGAGGGGGCTCTCTGCACTCGCAGATCTCCAGAGGGGGATGATGCCAGGCGTTGCCAACTGGATGCCCTCTGTGGGGAAGTTGGATTGCCATTCCCATGATCCCCAGCCCCCGCACCCCCCAGCAAACCTTGGTCTGGATGATCTGCTGGGGGAACTCGCTCATGGCGTTGACCAGCCAGCCTTCCAGGCTTTTGGCAAAGTTGCGGATGGCTTGCGTCAAGGTACCTGCCAGGGATTGAAAGTGACCTCATGCCAAGCCGGTCCAGTGACAAATGGGAAGGGTGCAGCAGAACTGTCCTGGGGGCAGCAGGAAAGGCCTACGACTCGCAGCTTGCTCAGGCTGGCCAGAGCCCTTTTCCTCCAGGCAGTTCCCACTCGCCCCCACAGCCCTCTTCCCTCCACGCTAGATCCTGGCAGCAGAAATGAGGCAGGCTTGCCTAAAGGGAGCTGATCTGATGGGCAGCCTTCCCGGTCCCTCCCCCACCCGCCCCCCGGACTGCTGGCTCCGCAACTCCCCACTCTGCTGGCTGCTGGTCCTCCTGGGAGGGCAGAGCAGGGCTGGAAGTCCAGGCACTTGTGAGGCACCCATGTGGGGGGCCGTAGGGGGCTCCGGCTCCATGTGGGTGCCGCCACTTCCTACTCTCTTCCTACCAAATGCCACTTGGTGGTGGGACATATAACTGACCCTCCAGACTGGATGTGTGCAGGCCCAGCCCTTGCCTGGTCACCGGCCCCACATCAAAAAAGAAAACTAAAACCAGGGATCCAAAGTTGGCCCTCTCCGGATCTGCGGCTCAAAAGTGGGGACTCAAATGCCGCACGTGCTGTGATTTTGCCCTCTCCATTGATCTGCATTGCCTTCCGGCTGCTTAAGATGCCAGCAACGCCTCTGCATGTGCCCATGACAGACCCAGATGCTGCCTCATATGTTCTGGGTGGCAGCCCAAGCGCCCAACCCTTTGCCCACTGGGCTTCGAGAAGGACGCTGCAACGGTGCATCGAGAGATGGCACGCAACCATCCCTCTTATGGGCTGCTGCCCTTTGGAACAGGAAGCAAAAAACCAAGGACCAGCTGTGGAGGTGGCCGACGTCTAGGCCCACACCCACCGGCTGCTGGGGTTCATGGGCGGGAGGGTGCCATCGCACTCCTGTCCTGTTTGTGTTGGCTTTTGAGGGAGTAGGTTGGCTGCTGAGTGAACAGCATGCCGGGCTGGGTGGAGCCCTGGTTTGATCCAGCACAGGTCTTCTAGTGAGATGCTGAGGACTAGGAACTTAATTAACATGGGGAAAGTGAGCGGGAGCCTGAAGAGAGCCTTGGGGAGAAAAGGGCGAGGGAAGCGGGGAGCTGTTTTCCCTGCCTACTCACTGGGAACGGGTCGGAGGACATCTGGGATGAGGATCTCCACGAGGGTCTGGCACAGGATGTGGTCGCAGCCCCGCATCCAAGCCATGATGGGGCCGCATTTGCACAGGGCGATCAGCTTGTGCCGAGGGAGGGCGACTTCGTGGGGCTCCTCGCGGCTGCAGGGTCAGGGGAGGTAACAGTGAGGTTGGTGGGACCCCACATCCTCCCTCCCAAAGCTCAGCATACAGGCACCCGTGGAAGAGAGGGGAGCAGCCTTCCCCCAACATGGAGCCCTCCAGAGATTCTGGGTGACACCGGCTACCAGCCCCTGGCCAGGTGGGAAAGGCGGGCAGAGTCTCTCCAGGGTCTCCTGCTGCCACAAGCACGTAAGTTCCAGCCCTCATGGAATCAGGCTGATTTGGAGAGTGATCCAACCTCAGTCCATCAAGCCATAGCCCCATGGTCGTGCTGGTGGGGGACAATGGGAGTTGTGACACATCTGAAAGGCGTGGCGTTGGGGGAAGGACACTTCAGGGGGCCCTCAGAGCAGAGCCAGCCTGGCTCCCTGTGGAGGGAGGCCTTGGACCGGGAACGGTGGGGCCAGCAGCGAGAAGGACCTGCAACCCATGAGTGGGCACTCATGCCATGTGGCTGCCTGGCCTGCTCACCATAGCCAGTCTCTCCACACCACTTCCCTGGCTTGTGTTCCTGCTGGCAGAAACCACCTGCCTGGTTGCCGCCAGAAATCTTCCCCTGCCTCAGCCTGACTGCAGGTTCACATTTCACAAAGGGGAAGAACTTTCAAACAGGTGCAAAAGGACACCATTATTTTTTCAAAGAACACCATTTTACAGAAAGTGAAATAATATTTCTTAACTGTCAGGACCACCAGGAAATGGTGGCAGAGGGAGAGCAGGAGGGACTTAGGGCTATTCTGCCAGCCCCAGCTCCTTTTTCCTCTTCTCTCTGCATCACTCTTCCCTCTTGTGTTATGTCTTTTTAGATTACAAGCATCTTTCTTTAAACAATTGTACACTGCTCAGATGGCAGTTAAATTTGAAATGAAGATTTTTTTGGTTGTGCTTGTTTGCTGGAGAATCTAATCTTCCTGGATGTGTCAGGTTCCAGCAAATTAAACTTTTGGGGATGTTCAGAGAGATGACTGGCTTTACCTGGAACCAACAGTGGCAGAGGCTTCACTGGAGCAGCTCTCTGAATTCCAGAAAGATTGCCAGAGCTTCTCAACATAGGAGAACTGGAGGCTCATCATGACTTCAATGTTTGCCTAAAGGAGAGAAGCAACATGTCAGGCTCACTAGAATCGCAAATGCCATGGCTTCGGGACACCAATCTGCATATGCTGATTTATATCAATATATGCAGCATAGACATAATTTCCCAGGAGGCAAATCAAGCCAATTCATTCGTTATCCAAAGATTCTCAATAAAATAAATTCTTCAGTTCACTTGTGCCACTCCAGATCACCTCAGCCCATGGAAAGACATTGCTTTCGAAAATGACACTTATTGCCCTGCAGGGGGGTATTTGGTGAATTTTGGTGGGGGGTGTTGGCAGCACATGCAAAGGAGAGGGTTAATTCACCCCATCTGCAATTGCCCATGAAAACCAGACCCTGTGCATCAATTATTCTCTGTTGTACCAGTGGACACTTGGAGCTTGGAATTCTCCAGCACCCCTGGGAACCGCAGATTTAGGGGCCCTGGGAGCTGTGGTCTGGCAGAGAAGGCCAATTCCCAGGCCAAGTCTCACGAAGACTGTTCTGAGTGCCATCTGCACTGGATTGTCTGGGAGCTCACAGGCAGAGGTGGCCACCACCTGAGAATCACCTCACAGTGTCGCCTGTAGAAGACTTGCAGGGTTTTGATGTCATTCACCTCCACTCCCTCCTGCAAAAGGACATCTTCCAGATCGAGGATGGGGAAGTCAGGAAGGATGCGGGTGGCATCTGCGGCACGAGGGAGAAACAGGACAATAAGGAAGCCAGCCAAGCCCTCAACAGCTGATGTTTGTCATGCCAAAGCAACAGGCTTGACAGTGGGCAACGGCTTCACAAAAGGAAAGAACAACACCCGGGTTAAGCCAAAAAATCCCTGAATACCCATTCCCCACCCCCACCCCCCAACTATGGAGTACTCTTACATCTGAACCTCTTGAAGAACACTAGAAAGTTGCCACTTCCCTTAGAAATGAAGTAAGATTCCAAACGTCATGATTCTGTATAATGCGCTGATATTAAATAGGAAGTTAGGTGGCTGCCCTGGATTGAATCTGACCATCAAACACAAGTGCCAGCAAGGACTGCTTGGCTTTCTTAGAGGGGCCTTTCCTAGCCTGCGCTGGAGAGACGCCGGGAATGGAACCTGGGATGTCCCACCTATGAAACGGGCTCTGCCAATCAGCTAACAGCTGAAACCAAGCCACATGGCGCACGGTCTCCTGGCAGGCAGAGCAGTTTCTCATGTGCAATTTTCTGTGGGTTGAAGGCATGAGCCCCAGCCTGGCATCTGAAGTATGGTTCAGGGCTGGGCAGGCCAGCACCGCTGTGGGACTGAGACGTTACTGATGCATGTTAAATGCATTACCTGCTTCCTGCTGCAGGCTGGTACAATCCTAGATAAGAGCCTTCGTCTACCTGTCCCCTTCCCAGCATTCCTGACCATTGGCCATGCTGGCTGGGGCTGATGGGAGGGCACCAAGGATGCAAAAATAGGAGAGCAAAAATATCAGGAGGACACCAAGAATGCAAAGCACCAACAAGCCCTTTAGGGACCCCAAAGGAGGTTGGCAGACACAAACACTGACGGCAGGGGAAGAAACCCAGCCGAAAGGAGGGGGGCGGAACGGAGAATCACGGAGGCAGCATGGCCAGTGGGGGTCTGGGACAGGAACACTCTGCAGTGCCACTTTCCTTGCATGCCGGTGTCCAGGGACCATCTTCCTCCTCACCTATGAACTGCTGGTGGTGCTGGCTCTGGGCAGTGATGGATTGCTCAGACATGATGTGGTGCCCGCCGTTCGACCCTCCCTCTGCAATGCCGTCCAGCTTCTGGGAAGGCCTGTACCTGCAGAGTGCAGGAAGGGGGAAGATGGCAGCCACTGCGGCATCCAGATGTTGCTTCTGGAAGACGCCGCCTCCGCGGGGAGGAACAAAACAAAACATAGAAAAACAAAAACATAAAGGGTGGCGGGGAGTGGGAAGATTTCCCAGAAAGGCAAGGCAGGACAGCTGAGCTTGGGTGCAAAGGGGGCTTTCTCCTCATGCCAGTCAGCCCTGTTGGCATTCGTCGCAGCTCCGCCAGGGTGAATGTCTTTCCCACCCCTCCCTTGCACATCTCATGGACAAGGCACTGAACTCGAAAAGAGCCGACAGAAAAAATAACAAGCTTGGGGTGCAATCATGTGTGTGTGATTGTATCGGGGGCAGGGGAATCTCGAACCCCCCTGCTCTGCAGCTTCCATCACCACGAGCCGAGCCGTCTTGGTCAGCGGCATAATGCCTTCAATGCAATAAATGGGTTCAAAGGCAGCAGGGCCACCTGGCCGCTTCTCAGAGGCGTGGCTGAAGAAGAGGCTGTCCCTTTGACTCGAGGTACACTCCTGCCTGCCCCGGCTGGGGCAGGGAGCACGCCTTCCCCACGCCAGTCCAGTGGGTGCCTCCAGGGGCTGCCATCAGCTTCGGCAGAGCTTCGGCTTCCGTGCTGGCGGTCCCCTTCCTTCCCATGCACACGCACAGCTGGACAACGCCTTTCCCCGCTGCCGACTTTCCACAGGCTGTGCCTCTCCTTTGCAGAGACTCCTCTTCCCAGGGGGGACAGATATGTAACATTCACCCTTAGACTCCTGCCTGCGTCCCCAGTCTGTGGGGGTTGAGCTCCCTTTCCACCCCCCGCATCTTGTTCGCCTAACGCTGTCCTCGGGCTGCTGCATCCCTCTCTGTCTCTATGCCATTGCCTCCTCTCTTCCCTCGCTATTCCTTTTATCTTGCCTGGGCCCCACCGTCCCCACCTCCCCAGGTGTTCTGTTCCTAGGGAAAGCACCTGCACACCTGGGTGATCTGAGCTGGGCTCCTGGCTTGCTCCCGAGTAGGAGATGGCAAGCCCCACTGACCCTTCACAGTGAGGTTAGGCAGGAAAAAAAGTCCTATGAATTCCAGCATACCCCAGCCACTTTTTCTGTCTTAAATATTCATTGGATTGAGATTTTATTGTATTTTGTGACTGCTGGTTCGGTTGCATTTTTTGGTTATGTCGCCCTCTCTAAGATAGGCTGGTAATTCCAATTAATGTCCTCATCTGTGGCAGCTTTTATTTTGAGCTTTACCACAGCTACCCAAGGTACTCCAGAGAGGGTGCATTGTGGAGTTGGAGTCCGGCACCACAGACAGAACCTATAAAGCTCAAAAAGCAGGCTGTGATAGCCTGCTGGCCTTCCCTTTCCCTAGAACACAAAGTTGATTCTTCAAAAAAGCAACAAGTCAACAACACACTAATGGTGTTCTTTCACACAGTTCTGAGCTTTCCCACACTCAGACACACACTGTATTCTGCACTGGCTCACGTGTACTTGGGAGGTTTTAGCCTCAAGAATGCTGGAGACAGCCAAACTAGCCCCGATCCCTTTTTACTTCTCAAAAGTAAAAAGTCGTGTCATCATGAATACACAAACACATGCTTACAAGGCTTCTAAGTGAAAGTTTGTGATTGCAGTTCATTTTCCCATCATCTGCTTCCTTCTCCTGGGTTGCAATGTTTATTGGTCATTGATTAGTGCTCTGATATTTTTAAAATAGGAGAAATGCATTTTAAAAATATTTTCTATTCTTTCAAAATTAAGCAATTTAAACAACCTCTTTCTAAATTTGCCCAAGTCAACCATTTTATTGAATGGGGCAGAGGGCTCTTGCAAACAACTTAAAACACCATCTGAAAATAGGAGATGCAAAAGGGATCTTCCCCTTCATGGATCACTGCCTTGCCGTGGCGAAGGGGCTTGTGTAGCTCAATGAAGCGATGAGCTATGCCATGCAGGGCCACCCAAGACAGACAGGACATAGCAGAGAGCGCTGACAAAACGTGATCCACTGGGGAAGGAAATGGCAACCCACTCCAGTACCCTTGCCATGAAAACCCCATGGACAGTACCAAAGGGCAAAACGATACGACGCCGGAAGATGAGCCCCTCAGGTCAGAAGGTGTCCAATATGCTACTGGGGAAGAGCAGAGGGCTAGTACTAGTAGCGCCAGAAAGAGTGAAGCAAATGGGTCAAAGCCAAAAGGACACTCAGTTGCAGATGCATCTGGTGGTGAAAGGAGAGTCCAATGCGGCAAAGATCTATACTCCATAGGAACCTGGAATGTAAGACCCATGAATCAAGGCAAGCTGGATGTGGTCAAACAAGAGATGACAAGACTGGACATCGACATCTTAGGAGTCAGTGAACTAAAATGGACAGGAATGGGTGAATTTAATTCAGATGACCATCGGGTATACTAATGTGGGCAAGAATCCCTCAGAAGAAATGGAGTAGCCTTCATAGTCAATAAAAGAGTAGGAAAAGCAGTACTGGGATACAATCTCCAAAGTGACAGAATGATCTCAGTTCAAATCCAAAACAAACCATTCAACATCACAGTAGTCCAAGTCTATGCCCCAACCACTGGTGATGAAGAGGCTGAAGTTGACCACTTCTTTTGAAGGCCTACAACACCTTCTAGAATTAACACCCAAAAATGATGTCCTTATCATCATGAGGGATTGGAATGCTAAAGTAGGAAGCCAAAAGATAACCGGAATAACAGGCAAGTTTGGCCTTGGAGTACAAAATGAAGCAGGGCACAGGCTGGAAGAATTTTGTCAAGAGAATACGATGGTCATAGCAAACTCTCTCTTCCAACAACCCAAGAGATGACAGAAATCAGATTGACTATGTGCTCTGCAGCCAAAGATGGAGAAGCTCTATACAGTCAGTAAAAACTAGACCAGGAGCTGACTGTGGCTCAGATCATGAGCTTCTTGTTGCAAAATTCAGGCTTAAATTGAAGAAGGTAGGGAAAAGCACTAGGCCACTCAGGTATGACCTAAAGCATATTCCTGATGAATATACAGTAGAGGTGACAAATAAATTTAAGGAACTAGATCTGATAGAGTGCCTGAAGAACTAAGGAGGGAGGTTTGCAACATTGTACAAAAGGTAGCAACCAAAACCATACCAAAGAAAAAGAAATGCAAGAAAGCAAAATGGCTGCCTGAGGAAGCTTTACAAATAGCTGAGGAAAGAAGGGAAGCGAAAGGCAAGGGAGAAAGGAAAAGATACAAACAATTGAATGCAGAATTCCAGAGAATAGCTAGAAGAGATCAGAATGCCTTCTTAAATGAACAGAGGAAAGAAAGAGAAGAAAACAATAGAATAGGGAGGACCTGAGATCTCTTCAAGAAAATTGGAGATATCAAGGAAACAATTCATGCAAAGATGGGCATGATAAAGGATCAAAATGGCAGGGACCTAACAGAGGCAGAAGAGATTAAGAAGAGTTGGCAAGATTACACAGAAGAACTATACAAGAAAGAGCTTAATGTCCCTGATAACCACGATGGGGTGGTCACTGACCTCGAGCCAGACATTCTGGAATGTGAAGTCAAATGGGCCTTAGGAAGTCTGAGCAACAACAAAGCTATTGGAGGTGACAGTATTCTAGCTGAGCTATTCAAAATCTTAAAAGACGATGCAGTAAAAGTGCTACACTCAACATGCCAGCAAATTTGGAAAACTCAGCAGTGGCCGCAGCATTGGAAAAGGTCAGTTTACATTCTAATCCCAAAGAAGGGCAATGCCAAAAAAAGTTCAAACTACTGCACCATTGCAGTCATTTCACATGCTAGCAAAGTTATGCTCAAAATCCTACAAGCTAGGCTCCAGCAGTATGTGGACCAAGAACTACCAGAAGAACAGGCAGGATTTCGAAGGGGGAGAGGAACTAGAGATCAAATTGCCAACATACGCTGGATCATGGAGAAAGCTAGGGAGTTCCAGAAAAACATCTACTTCAGCTTCACTGACTATGCTAAAGCCTTTGATTGTGTGGATCACAACAAATTGTGGCAAGCCCTTAAAGAGATGGGAGTACCAGATCATCTTATGTGGCTCTTGAGAAACCTGTATGGCTGTCAAGAAGCAACTGCACACGAAACCACTGATTGGTTCAAAATTGAGAAAGGACTTTGGCAAGGCTGTATACTGTCGCCCTGCGTATTTAACTTACATGCAGAGCACATCATGAGAAAGGAGGGGCTGGATGAATCACCAGCTGGAATTAAGATTGCTGGGAGAAATATCAACAACCTCAGATATGCAGATGATACCACTCTCGTGGCAGAAAGTGAAAAGGAACTAAAGAGCCTCTCGATGCGGGTGAAGGAGGAGAGTGCAAAAGTTGGCTTGAAACTCAACATTAAGAAAACTAAGATCATGGCGTCCAGTCCTCTCACTTCCTGGCAAATAGACAGGGAAGAAATGGAGGTAGTGACAGATTTTATTTTCCTGGGCTCCAAGATCACCGCAGACAGGGACTGCAGCCAAGAAATTAAAAGACCCTTGCTCCTGGGGAGGAAAGCTATGGCAAATCTAGACAGTATACTAAAAAACAGAGACATCACCCTGCCAACAAAAGTGCGTATAGTCAAGGCTATGGTTTTCCCAGTTGCAATGTATGGCGGTGAGAGCTGGTCCATAAGGAAGGCTGAGTGCCAAAGGAGTGAGGCCTTTGAATTGTGGTGCTGGAGGAGACTCCTGCAAGTCCCTTGGACCGCAAGCCGATCAAACCAGTCAGTCCTAGAGGAGATCAACCCTGACTGCTCTTGAGAAGGCCAGATCCTGAAGATGAAGCTCAAATACTTTAGCCACCTAATGAGAAGGAAGGACTCCCTGGAGAAGAGCCTGATGCTGGGAACAATTGCGGGCAAAGGAAGAAGGGTGTGGCAGAGGATGAGGTGGCTGGATGGGGTCACTGAAGCAGTTGGTGTGAGCTTAAGTGGACTCTGGGGGATGGTGGAGGACAGGAAGGCCTGGAGGAATGTTGTCCATGGGGTGGCGATGGGTCGGACATGACTTCGCGATTAACAACAACAAGAGGGGTTTGGTGAACATAGCTCCTTCATGGTCAGCTGTAATATTTGCATATGTTCAGCAGAGACCTAAGGTACAAACTGATGCCCTTTCAGACAAGAGAAGAGAAATGGCTTACATCTTTCTGTGTGGCCCAGACTGTTCTGCATTGAAGGATGCACAGGAGTTTGCCCTTAGGATGCTAAACTCTCAGGAAGGGGAGTGGAGAACAACACCCAAATATGCAGCTACCAGCCTGCCGTGGGTCCTCCTCTCCTTGGGCTTCTGAGCTTTGGATGAGTGCGGCTGCATTGCCACGAGGACGAGTGTGGACTCTCTTTTAATTTCACTGGCAATGGGTGCATGCAAGCTTCTGCACCCCACGCTCTGGGAGCCTACCTTTGTTTCTGGTGGATGGGCTGCTGCCTCACAGCCATATATTGGGCATCTTCCTGTAAGCGGTTGAGTGGGGAGTCTGGCTTGAGACGGATCCCGTAGTAATGGTACTTCGAATTTCCCCTTCAGGTTAAAGAAAAGATTAATGTTCAGCAACAAGAACAAGAAACTCTCATACCGCTAGGATTATCACTCTACATCAGAAGGAAGCAGAAGCAGACGAGGGGCTGGTTTGCTCACGGTGCTAGGCAATGGTTTATGCAACACGTCGTTTGCCTTTTTTGCTTTTATTCTTGTACTTACGTCCTGCCGTTTCTCCTCCAGGGCAGCACTCATGGTCCCCCTTCTCTCCACTGCACTTTCACAACAACTCTATGAGGAAGGTGCAGATGAAAGTAGGGGATTGGCCCAAAGGCATCCAGGGAGCTTCACGGCTGCGCTGAGACACAGCGTTTCCAACACACTACGTGCCGCACCTCTGCCGTCCCCAGGGGTTGCCTGGCAGTTGGCCGAACAGACCGCGGCTCGTCTTCTCCAGCCGTGGGTTGTTTGGCTTCCCGGCTCCATTGCCTGCTCTCCCAGCGCCTCCAATGCTGTTGCAGAGCAGCAGCACCAGTCCACAAGCAGCTACTTGCGCCTGTGCTTTTTCCACGCTCGCCTGCCACCCCTGTAGCCTGGCAAGCAACCCGTGAACAATCCACATTGGCTCGGGTTCACATGTAAAACAACACATGGTTTCAACAACCCAGAAGCAAACAATGGGTTCTTTTTCTGGGTTGTTCACTGTTAACAAAACCATGGCTTGCTAGCACGACTGAGTCTGCCCATCACGGCAACCCCAACGTCCAGTGGTCCACAGGCTGAACAAGTAATGGGTGAGCGACGGGTGCAAGCAAGGCCTCAAGGGCAGCCCTTGCACAGAGTCGTACCTTGGCACATCCGGCGGGATCTCTTCACCGGAGGAGCCACTCCAGCATTTCAGACCTGAGTGCCTTTCCCAGCTTGCCCAGCCCTGGACCAGGCCTTCCGCATGCAGAGCAACGGCGATTCATCTTCCCCTTAGAAGTCACTGACCCGGATAGGCGGAGGCTTTCTGGGATTGGAGACCGCTGCACCCTGCAGGGTTCTTGGGCAGCCTCCCCGCCAACCCTGCAGGCGCTTACCCTGCACCGAGGGTGGTCAGTGACTCTGTCCAGGGAGCTGCTCACCCACTGCAGATTTTATTCCGAGCTTTGAGGGGCTATCCAGGGCATTCTGCCGTGGAGAACGCCTTTGGGGGACAGCGTTCGGCACTGTGGACATCACTCGTAAAACTCAGGATAAAAGCTGTGCCGGATTAGCAGCCCCACAGGCCTCGGCATCCTGGCCGCCTGTGCTGGTTGCTCATCTTCCTTTTCCCACAGTGGCACTACCCCGGCTCCTGCTGTGACTGCCCCGATGCCGTGTGTGCACGCACAGCCCAACCTCTGTAGCAGCCCGGGGATGGAGGCCACCTGTGCTCTGCCATGCAGAGAGAGGGGAAAGGGCTACCAGTGGGAGCCCCTGTGGCATGCCACGGCGGCAAAGGGGAGCTGAACATCATGCAAGGGGTGTGCTTCGGAAGGCACCGGGCTGTGGATTGGCTGGAGAAGGCAAAGAGGCTCCACCACGGGGCCAGAGCCAGCTGCCATGCGACTGGAAAGCCATGGTAGCCCAGGAGAGGAACGGCCCTTTCCAGGGAGCTCCAGCTGGCACAGTGGCAGCACGCAGGTCAAGCCCTTCACTGCGGAGCGGGTCTTGCAACTCGTTTCTCCAGGCTTTGGATGTGCTATGGCTCCGTAAGGCATGGAAGTTTTAAAGCACGCTCTTCATGCTTAACTGTGCATTCTTTCGAGCCATCTGGAGTTGCTTTCCTTCTGTCTGTTGTGCTACTTTGCCGTTGCTAGTTTCGCTGTGAGGATGGCGAACACTCCTTATCTAGATTGCCACCAGATGCATGGTGCGCATCCGTAACACATGCATAGAGAAACGTGCCCTCCCCAAAAGAGAAATGCAAACCTCGTGCCCAGCCGGCGCGTCCGCAGCCCCATGAAGACAGAACGGATCAGCTTCCCGAAGGAGGCAGCGTTCACCGGGTCCAGTTTGTGTTCCTGGCAGTGGCGCAAGTAATGGTTGTACAGGGAGCTCCGGGGCAGGCTGACCCCCTCAGCTGTCTCATAGTTGTCCAGCAGCCACTGGAGCTGGGTGCAAAAAGAGGGGGTGGGGAAGGAAAACTCAAGAGCCAGGCGCAACGCTGCAGGCACCCACTCTGGGGATGAAGCTTGTGCTCTGGGCACTGCCGGGCACAAATAGGTCTGGGGACAGGGCCAGAAGACACAAATCTGTGAGACATTTGTATGGGTTATCACACTCCCGTGTGCACACACACACATAAGCTGAGATGCTGTGGGTGAAAAAGGCAGGGAATTAAACTTCTTCTCAGGAAGGCTCCCAGTATGATTAATACTTCAGTTAAACTGTCCCAGATGAAGCCAAATCAGCAGCAACACTTCAATTATGATTAATCTGCAAATTCCACCACCTGCCTGGAAACCTACAACAAAAGCTTCCATTAACCACAACTGGAAGTATTTTTGTGGAGTAGATTGCCATGTACAGGAAGGATTTTCTGAGATGGACACGCTCCCAAGTGTCTGGAGGGGAGAGTTTGTCCTTCTCTGCCCTGCTTTAATTCTCCCCACCCCTGATGTCGATCATCACCTGCATGGCCCCTGTACCCCAGGGCAGGGGGGGGGGGCACTACATGGGAAGCTGCAGAACTGCATCTGTTGGGCCTCTTCCCACTGTATGTTTTTGGTGAACACCTTTGGTGGACCCAGCAAACTACTTCATACCAAGCCTCGGTCCGTAGAGCTCACTCTTCTTGGAGAGAGTCAGATGTTCCCGACTTGGCACTGGCCTCCAGATGCTGTGGACTCCAAGTCTCATCAGCCCCAGAGAGCAGGACCAACTGTCAGAAATCCCAGGAATTCCAGGCCAAGACATTGGGAAGACAAAAAGTTCGGGAAGGCTCAGATCCATTGACTGACAGGTTGGCCAGAATTCTGCTCTTACCCACACAAATATATAGATGCACAGTCCTCATGATTCTGAATAAAAGGCTGGTTAAAGCAGCTGCCTGATCCTTCAGAATTCTCTGTGTTAAACAGTTTCCAGTTTGGGTTACTTTGAAATGGGGTTGACTGTGCTTAGGTTTGCAGGCTGAAGGGCGATGGTTGTTCTGGTGAGTGACAGATATGAGGGGTTTGTTGCTGCTCTGGGCCATTATGCACACAGCACTGAGGGACTGTGGAGGAAGGAGGTTTATGCACTGTACAAGTACAAATGAATTAGCACATTGGTTTGCCTAGTCTGGTCCCCACTGACATTCTGCGCCTCTCCAGGGCTTTCTTGGCCTTTCCTGGCGATGCTGGAGATTAAGCCCAGGGCTGCACGAAGTGGGGGCTCCACCCTGGCTGCAAAGCCCAGAGAGTCTGTTTAAATTCCCCTCCTGCCACCTCCTAGGGCTGAATGGAACCAGCGGGGGACAAATCTGCAGCACACTCTCTCAGCACAAGGAAAGGGCCTTGTCCGCTCGCCACTGTTCTCTCTGGCCAAAGCAGAAGGAAGCTGCTTACGTTCTTCTTCCAATCAGCCCTTATCTGGAATCATGAGGACTGGGCCCTTAGTTTATTTTTAGGGGTAAAGTGGTGTATCAGTGGGAGTGCATGCCCTTTGCATGTGGAAGTTGCCAGGTTTCACCCACAGCGTCTCTGGCAAAGGCAAGCCTCCCAAACCTGGAGCCCTCTGCATGCTGTGGACTTGCCCAGCCAGGAATACATGAGGAGGGCACCAGGTTGTGGAAGGCTGCTCTCACTTCCAGAGGTGGCTATTTGGTTCTCGTCAGCATGAGGCATTTCACAGTTCCTTCTTTCCATTGGATGCTCCCCGCCCACTGCCTTCCCCACTGCTGCCCTGGGAAGAAACCAGAGAACCGGCCAAGCGCTTTGCGTAGGACGAGCGGCGCAAGGCCAGTGCAGAATGCAAGTGGGGTGGGCAAGGCAAGGCAAGGCAAGGCAAGGCAAGGCAAGGCAAGGCAAGGGAAGCAGCAGTGCCCCGATGTCACTGAGGCAGGGAAGGCTGCAGGCACATTCCCAGTGGAAGCGGGAGACCGGGAGCAAAGCTGCTGGTTTTGAGCATGCTTGTCCGCACGTGTTTCAGGATACCACCCACTCTGCACATGCATGGTCCTGGGTCCAGGACCGGGCATCTCCAGAGAGCCCCATCTGAACACCTCAAGAGATGCTGCCAGCCCATGTCAGCAAACTGGGGGGGGGGGGGGGGCTGAATTGGTTTGTAGGATCTGGTTCACTGGGACTGCACCTCCAATGACAGCAGCCCCACCCATCCCCTCCCAGCCTGCCTCCCTCAACTGCCCTGAATGGGGTCACAAAGGGCCCCTTGCCATGCCCTGCCCTGCTCCAAAGGTTAGCTTGGTCTCTCCAGCGCAGTGCCCACAGCCCCCAAGGTGCCCATGGACACCTCTCTTCACACCCACCTGTTTCCTGGCCCTCCTGCTTTTCCTTTTACGTACGTTGTTTAAAAATATGTGTTATTCTTAATTGTGTCTGGCAAGCTGTGAAGTGAAATGCTGCCTTGGGCACCACTGGCATTTGGGCCCAAGGGAGAGTTTCACACACGGATGCTCGGGTCTCACTCTGCCTCCTCCTTTGGGCCTTGGCAAGTCATGTTTCTCTGAGTCTCGGCAGCCTGCTCTCTGGGACCAGGCCACCCTGGCAGCCATTTTAGGAATGGGCACGCCCTGCACCCACAGAAGCCCTTTTGTGAGAGCGTCCAAGGCATTCTTGAAAGCTCCAGATGTCCCAACCAGCCCCATGGCTGAGGTGCCTCGAAGAGAAAACATTTCACGGGCTGCCATGAGAGCAAAGGAGTGCCAGCACCATGAATGCTCCTGCCACGAGGCACTTCAGGGTCTTGGTTGGCCACTCGTGCTGCAGCCCAGCTGTGTGATCCAGAGTGGCGCGCAAAGCCCAGGAACAAGGCATGGAGGCCGTGGGGGAAAACAGGCAGAAACTTACATGGCTGCCAGCAAACTGCCTTTGTGTGATGTTATGCCTTCAGTTTTTTGGAGGTTTTCAATCACCATTTCAAGCTAAAGAAAGGGCAGCAGGCTAGAGCAAGAGAGAAGAGCAGAGCAGAGCAGAGCAGAGCAGAGCAGAGCAGAGCAGAGCAGAGAAGAGGTGACGGGACGGGACGGGACGGGACGGGACGGGACGGGAATCAACAACTCCAAAACAGTCCAGGACTTGCTAATGCTACTGATTTATGCCCGACTAGTGGTTAAGCTCTTCCCGCACACGGGTGAAGTGAAGCACTTGGCTCAAGAGAGCAGCAAGAAGGAAAGTGTCTGTGAAGGGAAGGGGCAGAGCAGCAGGGAGAGAAGCAGCACGCAGAGTAAGGCTGTTTGGCGTGGCAAAAGGGGGAGAAGTTGCAGGAAAGAAAGGAACCACTTCTGCGTCCCGCCTCACACTGCAAACCACTGTGTTGCTTTCCCTCGCTGACCATGAGGTGCCTTAGAAAGGGCAGGGCAGTGCCTGTGACAGTCTCGGGCAGTTAGGGAGAGAAGCCCCAAAGCCAACATGGGGGATTTTCCCATATTTCTGCAGCCCTTTCTTCCTCCCACTAATGCTCTCTGGAATGTCTCCTGACTGCATGCTCCTTCCCCAGGTGATTTAGTAATTGCTACATTTATACTCCACCATTTTCCTCTTGCAAGGAACCAAAGGCAGGTCACATGGCCCTCTTCCTCCCCATTTTACCCTCACAACCACCTCGTGAAGTATGTTAAGAGTCAGCGACTGGCCCAAAGTCACCCAGTGGACTTTGCAGCCATTGGAGAAATAGCATGCTGGTCTCCAGGACCCCGGTCCGACAACACTCTGGCCACAGTGCCGACACATTCATGCATGCTTCTCAAAAGCACTGGTAGCCCTAAGCCCCACAGCAACTGTGGTCCCCCAGAAATGGCCAGGTGCTGTGCAGAGCTGCCCAGTTGCAGGGTCCCCACTGTAAGGAACGCAGCTCGCCCCCCTCGCCTTCCCAGGACCTCACCCAGTGTTTGAGTGCAGCCTCGCATTTACGTCTTGGCTATGTGCCTTTTTTGGTTTGTTTTTCACCAGTTTACCTTGAGAGAAACACATGACTGAACAGGCCTCCTTGTGGAGCAGGCACTCTTAATGTCCCATATGGGCCCACCAACCCCCCACAAAGCCTGCTTAGAATGAGGGCTGCCTCTGCCCCCAAAACCTTTGGCCTGCCAACACGTGGGCCAAACGTCTGCAGAGCTGCCTTGTCCTCGCAAGAAGCTGGGGCCAGTTGCCTTCTCTCTGCCAGCCCGGCAGAGAGAAGCCCTCCTGCTCTGCAGCTCTCTGAACCAAGCCCTCCCGCTCTGCAGCTTCGGAAAGATTGGGGCAATAAATAAAAGCTCTGCGCAGGAGCCTTGCCACCAGGAAGCGAGCAAACTCACGTGAGGCGCCCTGAAGGAACTGCCTGCCTGGACCTACCGTGGCCGGGGAGGAGCGTGAGGGGTGCGCAAGGGTGTGGCTGGCATTCTCCATCCCGCTGTGGATGAGGTAGGTGCCGGAGCCGGAGACGAGTTGGCTGCCTGCGAGGTCCATTGCGATGCCCACCATGCCATGGGGGGGGATGGCCGTGGGGGATGAGCCCTCTGGGCTCACCTGGGAGCTGTCCCCTTGAGGCTCGAAGTAGGAGGAGGTGCTGCTGGGGGCGTAGATCTGGGCTTCGGTACTGTATGAGTAGGTGGCACCTCTGCCAAACGTGTGGGAAGGGGGTGGGAGGAGAAAGAAGTGGCAGAGTTAGAACTTGAATGAGCCAAAACCCCTTTCGAGGAAGCCTACTAAAATCGCAGGGGCCACTTGGAGGGTCAGTGTGTATAAGCAGAACTGAGGACACTCATATCTGGGCAGCAGAACCTCCTGTAGCCTGGGGGTCTCTTTCTAGTGGAGAGAAGTTCGCAGGGACTGCTCTTGCATGCCTCCAACCAGCCTGCTGCAGCTTCAAGCTCCTGCTGCCAGTCCACCACCTCAGCAGAGGCATATGGGGTGACTGATCAGTAGTTGTGAGGGAGAAGTGAAGCCAGAATGGCACCCTTTGCCGGTGGATGAGACTATTTATATCAAGCTTTTTCACAGGGCTGCACCAGTTGGGGGTATTTTTGCAACCCTCTCAGCAAGGGTGGGAACGGCCCGGGCCTTTTGCCCAAGACCAGCAGGTGGCTTTCAGTCTTCTCTGCGTTTTCCTCCATTCTAAAAGGTCAAAATGGGCCTCCTAAGTTGGAGTTCATGGCAGTTCACACCACCACCTTTGGCAAATTTTGTATTCAAATTTCAGAGGAGGCAAAATCAATTCCTCACTCCATGTGCACTCTGTACCCGCTCACCTCAGAAGACTGGAGAGTGTTTGGGTTTCTCAGTCTGGTCTTCACACAGGAGAATATTCTTGGGGGTGGGGGCTGCTTGGGGCATGGGGTGGTTGTGGCAGAATGGAAGGGGTTAATCCCTCCCACCCCACTACAATCCCTCATAAAATGTGTCCCCCTGCATAGCTGCTTCTGGCAGCCAGAGCTGAACCAGACTCTGGCCTGCTGCCACAAGGCACCAAGACTGGCGGGGAGGGGGCACTCACATGGCTTCATTGGTATAGACGGTTTCTCCCCCCTCCACATACTGAACTTGAGCTGGGTAGACGTGATGTACTGTTTGCACCTGCAGAGGATGTAGAGATCAAGATATTTACTTGAGGCTTTAATCTACATCTGGCAGAGCCATGTGCAATGGAAGGAGAGCCGAGAAATATAAAAAGACAGAAACGGAATATTTGAAACAGAAGAACAACAACAACAGCATCAAAAAAAAGTCATGGCTTCCTGAAATGAAGAAGTTTCCAGAAAGTGCTAGGAGCTGCTCAAGGTGGGTTTTTGCTTGGCTTCTAGAGGCAAGGAGTGCCTCAGAAATAGGGCCACCACTCCGAAGGCCCTTCTCCCAGGGGCGTTTAATTTTGGGCTATAGGTCCATATGGAACCACCATGAGAATTTGATCGAATGACCACACTGAGCAGGCAGGTTAAAAAAGGAGGACACTTCCTCAAGTGTGTGTATGTGTGTGTGTGTGAGAGAGAGAGAGAAGGAAACACTCAAGAGGTGATACAGTCCAAAATGGCACTGTCCCTGCACCTCTGCCTTTCAGAAGAAGGTGCACGAGAAAGATGTGTCAAAAAACAAGCGCTTTGAGACTTCCTTCCTCTTTTTCATCTTGAAGAACTTTAAATATAATCCTCAGCTTTTTATCATTTCAAATAAAAGCATTCAATTGCCTGTGCCACTCCTGGAGAATTTTTTCTGGTTTAGAAATTGGTATCTTCTGAAATAAAAAAATCAATTTGGCTAGCACATTCAATTTGGTCTATTTGTGTAGATCTTTTTGAATCTTCATCCATGTTATAGTTATTTTGAAATAATGTGTGATTATATCCTGTTATGCTTATCTCTAAATATTTGACCAGATTTGAAGTTATTTCACATCCTAAAGTCTTTTTTATACTTCTGATTTCATTGCAATATAATTTTCATTGTCTTCTTATTGATCTTACAGCCTCAGTAAAATGCAAATTTACCTAATTTAAAGCTATATTATTACACAGCTGGCCTGGTTTGGATTTTTGACTGGATTATAAATGTTAATGGTAGGTTAGTGAAGCTAGATATAGCAGTTCCTGAAGAAGGAAAACAATTATTTATGGGCCAAAGAGTCAGTTAAAAAGGCCTTGACATTAAACAATAATTATGTACTAAGGGTGGCTTAATAAAAATTTGGTCTTCTATAAGATGAAGAATTAGTCTTCTGATTTCTCCTTTGATGTCCATGGTTGAAGCATGTGGAAAGTATTTAAGGAAAAACAATGATCTTATAACCTATGGGGATATGACTGATCAACAAGGACAAGGTAAGCCTTGGCAACAACTAAAAGATGAAGGGAAAAATATAGAATGGTTTGATTATTACCAACTGGTTTCAAGATTGAAAAAGGAGATCCAGTCAGGGAAAGGCACTGCAAGAGACCTGACAGAATCTGAAAAGCTGATTATGCAAAAAAGGAACATTTGATTGGAAGATTTTGCAAGCAATTACTCCAAATTGACACTGAAAATCAGCAAGTTAAGACATGCAAGATAATTTGGATGTAGAACCTTGGAGAAATATCCTGCCAATGGGAAGCTTTATAGAAGAAAGACATTAAATTCACAGCCAATCAGGCACTAAGTGAAAATTGGTGTAAGATCTTTTTTGCCGATATATTACCTTGAAAGATATAGAAAAATAGACAAGAATTATAACGGAAAATGTTACAAATGTAAAAAGTAGATGGGACTACTCTACCAGGTGTGATAGACTTGTGATAAAATTAAAAGATTTTGGAAGTTGAAACATGCAGAAATACAAAAAACCTTTAACATTAAATTCTCTATGAGTCCTAAGATCTTGGAGCCCAGGAAAATAAAATCTGTCACTACCTCCATTTCTTCCCCATCTATTTGCCAAGAAGTGAGAGGACTGGACGCCATGATCTTAGTTATCTTAATGTTGAGTTTCAAGCCCACTTTTGCGCTCTCCTCCTTCACCGATTCAAGAGGCTCTTTAGTTCCTCTTCACTTTCTGGAGTTAAAGTGGTATCATCTGCATCTGAGGTTGCTAATATTTCTCCCGGCAATCTTAATTCCAACTGGTGATTCATCCAGCCCCACCTTTCTCATGATGTGCTCTGCATATAAGTTAAATAGGCAGGGCGACAGTATACAGCCTTGCCGAACTCCTTTCTCAATTTTGAACCAATCAGTGGTTCCATGTCCAGTTCTCACTGTTGCTTCTTGACCCACATATAGGTTTTTCAAGAGACATATAAGATGGTCTGGTACTCCCATCTCTTTAAGAACTTGCCACAATATGTTGTGATTCACACAATCAAAAGCATTAGTGTAGTCAATGAAGCGGAAGTAGATGTTTTTCTGGAACTCCCTAGCTTTCTCCATGATCCCGTGTATGTTGGCAATTTGATCTCTAGTTCCTCTGCCTCTTCGAAACCCTGCCTGTACTTCTGGTAGTTCTCGGTCCACATACTGCTGGAGCCTAGCTTGAAGGATTTTGCGCATAACTTTCCTAGCGTGTGAAATGAGTGCAATGATGCGGTAGTTTGAACATTCTTTGGCATTGCCCTTCTTTGGGATCGGAATGTAAACTGACCTTTTCCAATGCTGCAGCCACTGCTGAGTTTTCCAAGTTTGCTGGCATATTGAGTGTAGCACTTTTACTGCATCGCCTTTTAGGATTTTGAACAGTTCAGCAGGAATACTGTCGACTCCACTAGCTTTGTTGTTGCTCAGACTTCCTAAGGCCCATTTGACTTCACATTCCAGAATGTCTGGCTCGAGGTCAGTGACCACCCCATCGTGGTTATCAGGGACATTAAGCTCTTTCTTGTATAGTTCTTCTGTGTAATCGTGCCAACTCTTCTTAATCTCTTCTGCCTCTGTTAGGTCCCTGCCATTTTGGTCCTTTATCATGCCCATCTTTGCACGAAATATTCCCTTCATATCCCCAATTTTCTTGAAGAGATCTCTAGTCTTTCCTATTCTATTGTTTTCTTCTATTTCTTTACACTGTTCATTTAAGAAGGCATTCTGATCTCTTCTAGCTATTCTCCGGAATTCTGCATTCAATTGTTTGTATCTTTTCCTTTCTCCCTTGCCTTTCGCTTCCCTTCTTTCCTCAGCTATTTGTAAAGCTTCCTCAGGCAGCCATTTTGCTTTCTTGCATTTCTTTTTCTTTGGGATGGTTTTAGTTGCTACCTCTTGTACAATGTTGCGAACCTCCGTCTATAGTTCTTCAGGCACTCTATCAGATCTATTTCCTTAAATCTGTCACCTGTACTATCAGGGATATGCTTTAGGTCATACCTGAGTGGCCTAGTGCTTTTCCTGACTTTCTTCAGTTTAAGCCTATATTTTGCAACCAGAAGCTCATGATCTGAGCCACAGTCAGCTCCTGGTCTAGTTTTTACTGACTGTATAGAGCTTCTCCATCTTTGGCTGCAGAGCACATAGTCAATCTGATTTCTGTCATCTCTTGGGTTGTTGGAAGAGAGAGTTTGCTATGACCATCGTATTCTCTTGACAAAATTCTTCCAGCCTGTGCCCTGCTTCATTTTGTACTCCAAGGCCAAACTTGCCTGTTATTCCGGTTATCTTTTGGCTTCCTACTTTAGCATTCCAATCCCCCATGATGATAAGGACATCATTTATTGGTGTTAATTCTGGAAGGAGTTGTAGGCCTTCATAGAACCGGTCGGCTTCAGTCTCTTCAGCATCACTAGCTGGGGCATAGACTTGGGCTACTGTGATGTTGAATGGTTTGCCTTGAGATTTGAACTGAGATCATTCTGTCATTTTGGAGATTGTATCCCAGTTCTGCTTTTCCTACTCTTTTATTGACTATGAAGTCTACTCCATTTCTTCTGAGGGATTCTTGCCTGCAGTAGTATACCCGATGGTCGTCTGAATTAAATTCACCCATTCCTGTCCGTTTTAGTTCGCCGATTTCCAAGATGTTGATGTTCAGTCTTGTCATGTCTTGTTTGACCACATCCAGCTTGCCTTGATTCAAGGATCTTACATTCCAGGTTCCTATGGAGTGTAGATCTTTGCAGCATCGGACTCTCCTTTCACCACCAGATGCATCCACAACTGAGTGTCCTTTCGGCTTTGACCCAGTTGCTTCACTCTTTCTGGCGCTCCTAGTACTAGCCCTCTGCTCTTCCCCAGTAGCATATTGGACACCTTCCGACCTGAGGGGCTCATCTTCCGGCGTCATATCGTTTTGCCCTTTAGTACTGTCCATGGGGTTTTCATGGCAAGGGTACTGGAGTGGGTTGCCCTTTCCTTCCCCAGTGGATCACGTTTTGTCAGCGCTCTCTGCTATGACCTGTCTGTCGTGGGTGCCCCTGCACCACATAGCTCATAGCTTCATTATAAGCCCCTTTGCCACGGCAAGGCAGTGATCCATGAAGGGGCCAGTATAATTAATATGATGTAAAAGGAAGCTCATTAAAATATTGCTGCTGATTTATAACTGATTCAATGTGATTGGAAAATTGTAGGTTTAGAGAACTATAATTATTTTTTTTGCAAACTACAGTAAAGTACTCACTGGCAGAAAGACAGAAATTAGAGTGGGGATGCAAGTAAGGGTAAGCAGCCTTGGGTGGATCTGTGAATCCGTGAGGCCTTCCTGCCGGACCTTTGTTCAGTGGTGTGTTTGCATGTGCAGGACTCAGCTTTTCACTGGCAAGAAGGTGGTTGTGAAATGGGAAGGAAGAACTACAAAGTACAAGCCCTCAAGTAAATGCAAAAGAAGTGTGAATTCTGGTTCACAGGGAAGGGGAAGGAGTCAGTGTGCCACACCTGAAAGCCCTGCCTCAAGGACTGTGATCCCCACAGTCCCAATTGGAGGAATGTCCCCAAAGCTTCCTTTTGGGGAAATGGGGACCATGAATCTGTGTGCGTCTCCTGCCCTGAAAAGTGGTAAATATGGCTTTGGGGGTGCGACCTGGTGAATGTGATCTGCTGCTATGGCAAGAGAGAAGACCGTAATTTGTTTACATATCAGTGTGGCTTTAAAAATAGGGAGTGTGTGATGGAAGTATTTTGAATGCCTGCAGCTGGCAGTGACACTGCATGGGGCTTGCTACCCCCCCTACCCTAAATGGCTGTCACAATCCTATTCATGTTTATTTAAAAAAAGAGTCTTCTTTTCTATCTAAGCTCATACAGGAGCCTGCCCTGCAAGCTGCAGAAAAATTTGGATCAGGTATATGTGAAAGGAAAGCTGCAAAGCCCTGATGATCCCAGTATCCCAGTAAGATGATCATGTTTTATACCAGGCTAAGAAAGATTCAACATGATCTATTGGTCACCATGTCCATCCGCCTGCCAGCATAAATCTGCTCCATCCAGAGCCCAATAAAATGTTAGGCTAACATGTGGACAGATCTCTGATGCATGAGGAAGAGACCTTAGTTCCAGTTTGCTGCTTCTTAGGTAGAACTAGAGCAGCAACACAGGTGACAGCTGGCACGGGATCCACATGCACTCGCTTAAGCCAAGAAAGCATTCAGGACAAGAGAAACCAGAGAAAATGTCCCAGCTCTGGACGGAAGAGTGGATCCTATGTGTGGGAGTTGATGGAGCCAAAGCACCCACATCTGGTCAGGGTGCTACCAGAGGGACAGAGAGACTGGCTAACTCAAACATGGGCATGTTGTGCCGCAGTGGAGAACGTGGCCTTTGGGTGCAGAGTGGTGGGGAGAGGAGAAGTGCATGCAGGCACAAGAAAGCTTTTTGAACGCCCGTTTGAAGTCAACATTTCAAATTCAAGAGCCTGGATAGACATGATGCATGACAGCGATTAACCCCAGCAACGAAATGAAATGGACTGAGATCTCCACTCCTCAAAGAAGAAAAAAACAAACAGCTTTTGAAGCCCATGACCCACAGTGGCGTCCATTTGAAGACAGATCCCCTTACTTTGCATTTTTAAATTGTATTAGCTGGGATTTCAGTCTGTTGCTGCTTTGAGTGGGTGAGATGTTTTCTCATTTAGCAGCAGGGCAACCCAACAGGATCTTGGGAGATTAGACACTGTGACTGATCCTCTGGCAATTTTCAGAATCTGTGTGATGGGCAGGCCGCTGCTGGGCAAGGTTTTTCTCCACCCGCTGAAGGAAGCTCCAAAACCCCAGAACCAGGTCAGGATACAGCAAGCTCGGCAGCATGTTCACTCTGAGCAGGCAGTAAAGGGCATCTGATTTATACATTAGATGGAAGAGTATGCATGTATTTGGTGTGGCTGGGATTACAGCTCAATATCAGGTTCTTGTGGGTTTGGCCATACTGGCCGGAGTTTAGAGCTATTTTATGAGTCAATGCAATTTGTTTCAACCCTCTACTGCATGCATTGGGAACTCCAAACAGGCACCGGAGCTTAAATACGAAGGACAGGCTATGGGCTGGCAGGGATTAGGGGTCAAAGCCAGCACTCTGGGGGTATCTAGAGGGCCTCCTTGTTCCTTTCTCTTGACTACGGATAGTCTCCTGGATTTTGTGCTGGTTTTTTCCCATTGAAAATTCACCACGCTTACTTTACTTTTTCTAGGCCCCGTCTAGTAAACCCCTACAGACTGAACTTAAAACTTAATAGGTTTTGTGTTCAAAACAGTGTTTTGAAATAAATTAGTAACTGCAGCAAGTTTGTGACCTTAAGGGAGATGTGGGGAGAGAGAGTTCATGCCCCTTCAATTTACAAATGGTTCCATATTTGGTTCTGCAAAGGCAATCTCTGCTCACAGCAGGCAGCCAGCCAGAAGCGCTTTATGGACAAGCATGTGCTCCATCTGGCAGTTCAAAATGCAATCAGTGGTGTTTTAAAGAACTCCTCCAAATTTAAATGCCAAAAAGTGTGGTTTTCAAATCTAGATCTGAGGAATGATCATTCCCAATGGTGCAAAAGATCCGTCTTCCTTGCTCTGAAGATGAGCTAAGCTGGGAGCTGCCTGGGCTCCATATGACCCAGACTTTACCTGATGCACTCTGGGGGCAGAGAGCTGTTGCATCGGCGTCCCCTTGGGAGTGGAGCCTGCTGCTTGGACCAAAACCCTCTGGAAGTGGGAACACAGAAACAAAAAGATGGGTCAGCCTGCTGACAGCTTTACCCTTACAAAAATATCTTTCAGATGACAGCACCCAAGATAAGATGAGCAGACATATGTAAAATCCCTGCCTAGGAAACATGCTGGAATCCCAGGGGTGATTAAATTACAAAAACCCAGAAACCTTTGCCTGTAAAACAAGCATGACTGCATGATCATGAGAGCCCCTCCAACTTAATTCTATCTTTCCCTGCCCACCCTCCTCCAAGGTAACTGACCTAAATTATCCTGTGCAAAGCAAGAAAGATTGAGTGAGACAGGAGCAGACAAAGGGGACATCTGCCCTATTTGAATGTCACTCAGATGTGAAAGGAAGCAGGGCCATGCCACCTGCCCTGCTGAAAGTCAACTACATTTTTCTTCTGCCCTCCCCATCCCTTTTCCTTGTGTGACATGACTTTTTCATTAGAAAGCTTGTTCTACTGTTTACCAACTGTATGTTGCTTAGGAAGATTTTTCCCTGAGAAGAAGCAGGATAAAATACTGATAACAAAGAAATATTTAGTTATTCTCCTTAGCACAAGATACGGGGTGAGTCTCAAGATGAACAAGATATAGATGACTTTCCAAGCACTGGCTCTTCTTAGGCATCCCGTCAAGCATAGCTTAGAACCCAAAGGTTTGGGCTGAACTTCCACAGATGAAACCATGGTTTGGAGCGCCTGCTCGCCATTCCTGTTTGTTAAATGGTGGAGGCCCCAAAGTTCTAGCAGCGGTGCAGGTTTGGGGACTACAATGCCACAGCCAGTGCGGTGTAGGAACTGGCACGCTGGACTGGGCCTCGGGAGACCTGGGCTCTAGTTCCCACTTGGCCAAGATGGTCACTGGGGGACGCTGGACCAGGCACAGACTCTCAGTCTCAACAGGGTCGTTGTGAGGATGAATGAGGAAGAGGACTGTGCAAGCTGCCATGGGTTCCTTGCTGGGACAAAAGGCAGGATCCAAACATAATGCATGAGTCAGTTGTGCCAAGCCCCAGCTCCTGCAGAACCGCGGCACTGACGCTGGGACGATCTCTGGGTGCCTGACAAAGAGGGTCATTGCCCTGAGGTACATCTGTTTGGCCTTTAAGGGAGGTACCACAAACCCCTTACTTGTTTGGCCTCCAAAAGGTGAATACGGCTGCTACCCCTTTGGAGTTCCTTGTTCTGGCTTCCCAGCAAATAGAAAAACATGCTTTGTCCATCCAGACATTACACCAAAGCAAAGTTAAGCAGAATATTCCGTGATGCCCTAAATTATAGCAACTGTGCTGACCCAGACTGATGCTGTATCAATTGTGCTAGTGGAAGCAGACCTCTCCACCCCACGGGACCCCCTCTAGCCTCCTGACACAGAGCCAGGAGGCAATGCAGATGTGTCTTGTGGAAGGCAGGCCTTGCATCCACGCAAGCAATCCCAAAATGCAGCATTCACATAGCACTTTCAAGGTCCAAAGAAATCCCTACCTGTCATCTAAGCTGTTAAATTCCTCTGAGCACTGATTATGTCCTTGCTTTTTCCTGTTTTATTGCTATTATGTTCACCTTCTTGATGATTTCCCCAAAAAGCACTACAGAAATTGAATAATAATTCTGATAATAACCTTGTAAGGTAAGCCAATCTTATTAGCCCTATACTGCAGAGCATAGAATCATAGAATTGGAAGGGGGCCAAAAAGCCATCAAGTTCAACTCCCTGTTTGGTGCAGGATCCCAAGTACAAACATCCTTGATGAGGGCTGTCTTGAATCCTTCCAGGGAGCAGTCCATGGCCTTCAAGATCACTGGCCCCATTGCTGCATTGCTTGAACGGTCCAGAAGGTTTCCCTTGTGTAAAGCTGGGATTTGGCTTTGCAGAAGGTGACCCCAGGTTTCCTCTCTGTGAAGTCTTCTCTCCTCTAGGCAAAACACGCCCAGTTCTTTCAGTCTCCTCTCAGTAGGGCCTTGTTTCCAGACCCGATCATCTTTGTTGCCCTCCTCTGAAAATTTTCCAGTTGGTCTGCATAAACTGTGGTGCCCAGAACTGGACGCAGTACTCCAGAAGGGGCCTAACCAGTGCTGAGTAACGGAGAACTAAAACTTCATGTGATTTGGAAGTGATACTTCCATTCATGCAGCCTTTTGCTGCCACATCATGTTGTCAGCTCATATTCAGCTTGCAATCTACAGCAATGCCAGGGTCCTTCTCACTTGCAGGATTCTTGGGCCAAGTGTTCCCCATCTTGCAAGGATGCATTTGCTTCCCTTTTCCTGGTGCAGGTCTTGGCATCTGTCCTGACTTTCATTCTGTTGCTTTCAGTCCGGTGCTCCAACCTATCAAGATCACCTTGAAACATGTTTCTGTCTTCCAGGGTGTTAGTTACCCCACCCTGTTCTGCATCATCTGCAGATATGATGTGTTCCCTGCACTTCCTTATCCAAATCTTTAATAAAAATGTTGATGAGCTCAAGGCCAGATGGAAGACTCAGGTGAAAGAAGAGAGAAAGACAAAGAATGGCTTGCTTCTATTCACCTGGTGAGTTCATGGCAGGGGCAAGATGCAGTCTTGGGGTTTCCCAGTCTGCCGCTGAAACCCCTGAAGGCCCACTCCAAATCACCTCCTTGCAAGAGATGGAGGATCTGGGCAACCGGGGCAGTATGCTGGAAGGTGGGCAGAGGAGCTGCAGACTGTATGGCACATGGCAATATAAGGCACACAAGCACTGTTTGGAGGGAAGGGGTGCCCTTACCTGCTGCGATGCCGGCACCGGCTGGACTACTGGGGCCTGGACCGATGCGGACATCTGCAGCGCCATGGGAGTTGTGGAATCCGAGCCACCCTCTGTACCTTGCATGATTGCCTCTGCTGGAGAGAACCAGGGTTGAGGTGGGGGGGGGGGGGAAATAGCTGTTAATGGACTGCAGAAAGCAATTCCATCATTGTACAGAGAAGGGAGCTCCTTGGAGTCTGGCAGCTTATCTCTGAACTAGGCCACGTGGCCCTTGGCAGAGGCAAAGAGAGGATGTACCCAAAGCAAAGCAAATGGACGAAAAAGCCAAGGGATGCGTCCTGGGTCTGTGCCGAGTGTGGCATGTAATGAAGGGGAGGGACATTAATGCAGCTTGGAAAAGCTGGTGCAGATCTGAAATTGGTGCTCTGCCTTTCCATCAGGAAATGGCTAGCACAAAACACACGTGCTTCTGTCAGGCGTGTGTGCTGCTGCTTAAAAAAACCAAACGGCATCAAGTTTCATAAAGGGCAGCAAGCATCCATCAGAGGACATGAAGTATTAACTGGCTAAATAGCGTATTTTTAGTCCTAGGTTTCTAGTACAGATCAAGCCATCAGCATTCATGACGGGAAATACCACAAAAACTATTTTGATGAGAAGATACCTGAATGTTTCTGAAAGTAAATTCAGGCTTTTCGCTCTGACCCAGGTGAATTCCAGCTCTCCTTAGACATGAGTCAACAACGGGTCAGGGAAATTCAGGCTGGGGGAGGGGGGGAGAATTTAGTTCTCTTGAGTGCCCCCACCAGCCATATCCCTTCTTCCATCCCCTCCCCTTTTCACATAACTGTCTATTGCTTGATACTTTCCTGGCTCTTATGCAGCTCCCCCCCGCCCCATTCTAAAACAACTCTCTAAAGGGGCTGAAATGAGGCTGAAGAGGTGTGTGATCTCACTTGGTGGCAAATGCCAACAAATCTTGGGTAACTCCAGGCAGCTTTGTCCAGCCAGGAGCATGCAAAGATCACCAAGAACACTGGACAGAGGTTTTCCCACATTCCACGGTGGCCCCAGAGTGGACAACAGCCGTGGGTCAGGCCAAGCCAGGCTGATGCTCAGTGCAATGCTGGAAGGGTTGTGGGTTGGTGTGCTTCATTTTACATTTGAAGCTGCTGCAGGGCAGGGTTGTTGGTCAGGACAGTGATGCAAAGAACTCTCCTTCCTGCCACGGTTCAGGAATGCTGAGTTGTGTGTGAGGGTGGGGTTCCTGAGGGACAGCAGCAGAAGAGGAAGATGCTAAGCATGTCACCTCCACAGGGGCTGAGATCCCAACGGTTATCAGGGCTCCTGCCCAGTCCAGCAGATCCAACCCATATTTGAAGAAGACAATAAAAGAAACTGCACCATGAAATACAAAGACATCACGGGTCCTTTGGCTGCTTCACTGCACCACAGCACAAAATGGGACATGGATGGCCAGGAGCTGACAGAAAAAGAGGGCGAGAGAGAATGGCTAAGGGGGAAAGGGGGCCTGGAGAAGCAGCAGAGTAACTCTACTGTTCTGGCCATGGAGGGGGCCCAACTCGGTGCATTATGATGAGTTCTTCCCAACCTGGAGCCATCCAGATGTGTGGAACTGTGGACTATGCTGGCTAGGGATGCTGGGAATTGCATTCCACACAGCTGATGGGCTCCAAGTCAAGAGGTGGCGGCCCTTCAATAACTTCTCCCCCATTTTACAAGTGGGAAGAAGAGGCTGAGAAAAAGAGACTTGACCAAGGACAGGGGGACAAAATCCATAACATGTGGGCTGCAGCCAAAGTGTGGGCACACGTCAAACTGGCTCACAGGGCTGCTAGAGGACATGTCCCCTGATGCAACACCAGGAAGGAGGGCCACAGAACCCCCAGTGTCATCTGGGGGGTGTCAAAACACTCCAACCTAGATTGTGTGAGCTGCTTGGCACATCTAGAACAATCTAGCTCACTTCTGTACTCTCTGTGTACCCTGAAGCTGCATTACATAAGTGGAACTATTTGGTGATTAAACCCTTCTCCCCACTCCCTGCAAAACCTTTTACCGGTAATTAAGGAGCAAACCATGAAGTGAGGTTTTGTAACACAGGAACCTGGTTGGAGGGGGTGAGAGTAGAAAATAGACCCTTCTTTTGTCACTGGCACCAAATGAAACCTCTGGCTCGCGAGAAGGCTCACAGGAAAGTCAGACTCCCTGGAAACAGTTTCTGTTTACTCGAGCCAGCTTCAGTATCCAGGCAGAGAGTATGCAACAGGAAAATGAACTATTAAAGGAGGGGGGAAGAAACCATCCCAAAAACGGCTTCTGGTTTTATCTCTAGCCTTGCCATGGCCCATAACCTCCAACGAGCACCACAACATCTGGACTGGGCCTGTTTCCCCTAGCATCTGGCTTGCTGGGCACTCACTGGCTAGCTAGCTAGCTGAGATGAGCTGTTTGAGATGGCAGCACTGTTAAGAGGGTATTTTTCTTTGGTTTAGTTTCTCTGGTGGAAATGCAGAGAAGAGGGAATGAGGTTAGGTCTCGCTGAGAGAAGCAGCCCTTCTAAGTGGTGTCTGGGAACAGGATTCTGAAGAGGCTACCAGCTAAACAAGGAGAGGTTGGTAAATGTTTTGAAGGACTGCATGCCAGTAAACGTGCTAGTCCAGGTCCCAGCATTCAGTGGTGGGTTTGTGCACCTTTCTTTCTCCATGCAGTGACTCATGCCATGGAGGAGAGCACCTGTGAACTCTAGGAGCAGCTCTGGGGCGGGGGGGGGGGGCAGGAGCGGGGGTTTATATGTGTGATGGGTGCAGCTGAAGGCTAAGGAGATGGGGTAAACACATGTATCCAGATCCAGCTTTTTAAGATGATGAATCCACATTGGAGTACTATGAATATGGTCAGCCCAGTGCCCTTGGTGCCTAACACTGACACAGCAGACAGATCCCCCACAAGTGCATTTTAAGAGGACATCCCCCCACCCCTTGCACTACTGCAACTCCTGCTTCAGAGAACAGAGGCCACTTTGAAAGAGGGGGACACACGGTGCTGCTTGGGGTTTTTTACAGCATTCCAAAACTGCTTTGGCCAGAAACGGAAGAGCCACTGCAACCAACGAAAGAGCCATCGTGGGAAGCTGCAGCCTGCCAACTGTCTTAAAAGCTATGCAGGCCAAATGAGAAACATCCTCTTCCATATGGATTTGATTGCCTGCTGCCTCAGTCATAAGGGGGGAAAGTATGTATCTTGCCCATAGCTGCACTGTCTGACACTCTAGAGGCTGCAGGACTGTCACTGACCATCTTCTCTCTGCTTCTGATGCATGCATGAGCAGAGAAGGGAGAGGGCGCAGGGGGACTGAGAGGGAACTTCCAGCCAAGCTGCCCGCCCTGCACCGGCCCTGGCTCTGCCTCCACCACTTTTCATCCCTCATTGCCCACAGCCTGAACAATGGTTCTTGTCCTTCCCTTATAGCCCAAGGGCCATTTCCAACTTTGGAAGCCCTCTTGGTGGTACAGTCTTGTTGTTGTTGTTAGTCGCAAAGTCATGTCCGACGAATCGCGACCCCATGGACAACATTCCTCCAAGCCTTCCTGTCCTCCACCATCCCCCAGAGTCCACTTAAGCTCACACCAACTGCTTCAGTGACCCCATCCAGCCACCTCATCCTCTGCCGTCCCCTCCTTCTTTTTCCTTCCATTGTTCCCAGCATTAGGCTCTTCTCCAAGGAGTCCTTCTTTCCCTTGACATGGCCAAAGTATTTGAGTTTCACCTTCAGGATCTGGTCTTCTAAAGAGCAGTCAGGATTGATCTCCTCTAGGACTGACCAGTTTGATCGCCTTGCGGTCCAAGGGACTCGCAGGAGTCTCCGCCAGCACCACAAACCAAAGGCCTCAATCCTTCGGCGCTCAGCCTTCCTTATGGTCCAGCTTTCACAGCCATTCATTTCAAGTGGGAAAACCATAGACTTGAGTATACGCACTTTTGTTGGCAGGGTGATGTCTCTGTTTTTTAGTATACTGTCTAGATTTGCCATAGCAAGCGTCTTTTAATTTCTTGGCTGCAGTCCCCATCTGCAGTGATCTTGGAGCCCAGGAAAATAAAATCTGTTACTACCTCCATTTCTTCCCCATCTATTTGCCAAGAAGTGAGAGGACTGGATGCCATGATCTTAGTTATCTTAATGTTGAGTTTCAAGCCCACTTTTGCGCTCTCCTCCTTCACCGATTCAAGAGGCTCTTTAGTTCCTCTTCACTTTCTGGAGTTAAAGTGGTATCATCTGCATATTTGAGCTTGTTGATATTTCTCCAATCTTAATTCCAACTGGTGATTCATCCAGCCCCGCCTTTCTCATGATGTGCCTGCATATAAGATAAATAGGCAGAGCGACAGTATACAGCCTTGCCGAACTCCTTTCTCAATTTTGAACCAATCAGTGGTTCCATGTCCAGTTCTCACTGTTGCTTCTTGATACACCTATAGGTTTCTCAAGAGACAAATAAGATGGTCTGGTACTCCCGTCTCTTTAAGAACTTGTCACAATTTGTTGTGATCCACACAATCAAAGGCTTTAGCATAGTCAATGAAGCAGAAGTAAATTTTTTTCTGGAACTCCCTAGCTTTCGCCATGATCCAGCGTATGTTGGCAATTTGATCTCTAGTTCCTCTGCCTCTCCGAAACCCTGCCTGTACTTCTGGTAGTTCTCGGTCCGCATACTGCTGGAGTGTAGCTTGTAGGATTTTGAGCATCACTTTGCTAGCACGTGAAATGAGTGCAGTGGTGCAGTAGTTTGAACATTCTTTGGCATTGCCCTTCTTTGGGATCGGAATGTAAACTGACCTTTTCCAATGCTGCAGCCACTGCTGAGTTTTCCAAATTTGCTGGCATACTGAGTGTAGCACTTTTACTGTATCGTCTTTTAGGGTTTTGAGTAGCTCAGCTGGAATACTGTCACCTCCACTAGCTTTGTTGTTGCTCAGACTTCCTAAGGCCCATTTGACTTCACATTCCAGAATGTCCGGCTCGAGGTCAGTGACCACCCCATCGTGGTTATCAGGGATGTTAAGCTCTTTCTTGTATAGTTCTTCTGTGTAATCTTGCCAACTCTTCATAATC